TTATATGACATACCGTCAACAAATCTGTGAAAGTCATTTGACTTGGCTGAGAGTTATCCAACATCATATGATCATGTTGTACTTGACTTGATGAGCTAGATTTTTGAAGTTGACTATCTTGTCCCTAAAACATATTCAAAAAGAAACAATAAACATATAAGAAGCTCTATATGAAATTAAATCGATCAAGAATTAAATTGACCATAAATATACCTGCGAAGTTTTCACTAAATGCGAAGCTTGAAGAGGTTTCTTAGAGGTTCTTCGTTTCTTTGGACGAGTTTCAACATAGCTCTTTATCCGTTTACTTGTCTTTTTACCGTATCTCTTTTTAAACCCAACAACTTTTCTACAATCATTATCACCATCATGATTCTCCACATGATCCTTGCTACTATTGTTGCCATCTGAAAGATATTTTATATGCAGCTCAGTTACTTTCTTACTAAGTTCCAACATAGCTTCATGGACAAGAGAGAATGCCTCTGGACTTTCTGACGCATCACTTGCTAATTTAACAAGCAAGGGGCATAATTATCTATATCGATTTGATCTTTGCATTTTAGGATCAACTTCAATCTGATTTCCTCTAATATCATACGCTACACCACATCGTGCTTTTCTTGTCCACCTCTTTACAATATATTTTTGAGGGCGTAATTTGACATCACGTTCATTCAATACCCTCAATGCGTGACAACATAATATGCCCACTCTTTCAAACTTTTGCAACTACAGCTGATCGTCTCTGTTGAAGGATCAAATGTTAAATTAAACTCCCTTTTCTTATCATACATGGTGATAACATAATCAAACACGATGACACTGTCCTCCTCATCTTCATTTTTCTTTCTTTCTTTTCTCTCTTTTATACATGTGGCTTCACGTTGATCATATTGGTGTTGGAACAAGTCAAAAATAGGTCGAGTATAGACATCAGAAAGTTGATGAAGCATGCATGAACTTTGCAATATCAATCTTGGCACCTTGTCACGTGCCTCAAAATCACTTTTCAATTCATTGTAGCGTTTCTCCTCTAAAACTTGTTTAAATTGATGCAAGAATCGATTGATATCCAATAGAACATTGGTACATTTTTTAACAGATGCATTGACACTTTCACTAATTTGTGTGCTTCTCATACCAAGTGTCTTTATGTTCTTCATATAACATGCTGCCCATTTCTCTTTTATCTGGTACATAGACATCAACCATGAGTTTTCTGTCATACTTTCTTTTGATAATAATATTTGCCAAGCTTCTTCAAATTCTATTTCATCCCAACAATGATACATGCACTTGTTGAAATCACTAACCATTGAATTTGGAAGATGCTTCATTGCATTTCTTGAAATATGGCACGTGCACAAAGCATGCTTTACATTTGGCATCACTTCTTGTAATGCTCGTGCCATGGCAGCATCTTGATCAGTGAAAACTGTTAAAGGCTTTAAATTCTTATGTGCACATAGAAAAGTCTCAAAGAGCCATTTAAATGTCTCGATGGTCTCATCATATAACAATGCCACTCCAAAAATCACCCCTGCTTTGTAATGGTTAAAGCCAGAGAAAATTGCAAGAGGTCTGTGATTACTATTCGTGCAATAAGTTGTATCAAATGAAATTACTTCTTCAAAGCAAGCATAGTCAATCAACATGCATGCATCGGCCCAAAACACATTTGTGACTCTCTCCTCTAAGTCCATTTGGTAAGCATGGAAAAAGGATGGATTTTCTGCCAATTGTTGCTCAAAATAACGAAATATACATCCAGCATCACCATATTCCATAGCCCGTTGCCTTCTTGAGTTAAGATAATTTTTAATATCATCTCTTGTATATCCCAAATTATCTCGACCTCCTGCATACTGGCTTTGTAAATTGAATGCCGATTTTTGATTAATCCCAGCTTTTTCAGCAGTTTCTAATTCATGTTGTTTCATTCTAGCTTTGCATCACGTTCTTTGCTCAAGAAAGAGTTGCAGAAACTGAAATCAACTGTTGGTATTTTGTAAAAATTGTTTACTCACCAAGTTTTAATATTCACCATCCATTCCTTCCCAGAACTCTGCGCCGAAACCTTTCCCCCCAATAGCTTCGACTTTCCCACGCTGCTCATGGAAGAGAAACGGAAGCTGGTGATATTAAACATTAAACCCACTGAACGACTGAGATGGAGTGAGGAAATGGATGGTTAAGATTTTTAGTGTGAAACGACGTCGTTGAAGGTAGTGAACTGGAAGCTAACGGGAAGGAAGTGGAGAGAAACCGATCCCCCGGTGGTGGAAGTACCTTATTCTGGTAGAAATTGACTCAAGACCTGATGGAATACTAATGCCTCGTGACCGAGTCCAAGTTGAATAAAATTTGAGAAACCTTATGCTCGTCATTTTATTAAAGCTCTTAGCAGTCAATTCTAAGGGTCTAATCCCATATGTATTGAACATTATGCCTCCAACCTCTTTGTCTCCCTGAAAATTACAAAGTTTAGGGAAATAGTAAGAAAAATAAAGAGCATTGTCTGACATTGGTGACAAATAATTTTGTTAAGAGTGAGAGAGAAGAAGAGAAGAAAGTTATCTTATTCTTACCTCACAATTTTTCAATACAACAGAGATTTCCCTAGGATCCCATAATCTACTCCTTTTTCCAGGTTCACTGGTATTCTCTTCACAAACAATTTGTAAACCCATTTCTTGTATCAAGTCATGTATCTCAACTTTTCCATTGGTCATGACAATAAGAGCCTTGTCTTTAAGTTTTTGCTTGCCAACAATTGGGTAGAATTTATAGCTCTCTAATAGCTCTTCTACAAATGTTTCACTTTCACCTTTCAAGAAACATGCAATGTCTAGAAAAATTTGCTTCTCTTTATATTCTAATCCACCATAACTCAATCTTAACACCTTTTGAATTTTGCCATTTTGACAGCCTTCTCGTAATTTTCTCAACAAATCATCCCATAATTTCTTATCTTCAGTGTGAACATGTGAACCTAGAACTTTAAAAGGGAGGGGATTATGTTGGGTATAATCTACAAACCCTTTTATGAGCTGTTCATATCCGTCCTCTAGATGGTCTAATCCAAAGGCCTTTAGGATGAAAAGTCGATGCGAATTTTCATCACTCAATCCCTTGGCCTCGCATATTTCATAATTGTTTCCCCAAAGCAATTTCTTATTCTTGTTATCATAACTTTACTACCTTCTCCCAAGAAATTGCATATGTTATCCTGCAGATCCTCTAATTGCTCAAAACTATCAATATCATCAAGCACAATGAAAGCTTTTTTACTACCGAGCCTTTTGGCAATATCTGCACTTTGCATATCTTGCCTTAGCAACTTCGAGACAAGAGAGCTACAAACATGTTCTAATACATTTTTTTCTGAGAAGCAGCAAGTGTCATACCTAGAAGATAATTTGAAAAATACAGCACTTGCCATTGTGGTCTTACCCACACCGCCATCCCTCAAATTCCAACTTTGTGAAATTTTTCCAGTAACTCTTCAATGGGTTCAATCATTTCATCCATTCCAATTACCTCTTTTAATCTTTGTTGACAATTATGTATTTGTTCCAGTTTTGTGTTGACATCAACGACAATTTCCTAAATTAAATTGGATTCATCCCTATTGAACAAAGCAAAAAGAGAAATAAACAGAGTAAACCGTCCATTTTATGTTTTGGGAGCACTTAATTAAAATAAATGCTTCACTTTACAAGGTAAGCTGCCACTCTGGGTAGGATACCCGGGAAATACTTACATTTTGGTTGAATCACTTTGATTAAAAAAACATACTTACGTGAAGTTTTGGCAGTGCTTGTCGCTTAAATTGCCAGCTTCAGAAAGAGCAGCTTTCCATCTATTCAACCTGTTTGGGTCAAGCTTGAAATCTTTCTCATGTTTTTCAAATGCCTTCTTGTAAGCTCCAGTCAGATTTCGAACATGTGAGGGGTCAACTTTGTAGAAGATGGGTATAACAAACTGACCCTCATTGTTTCTGTACTGCATGATTTGGGCGAGTTCATCTAGGCACCATCCTGAGGAATCATAGTCTTTTGAGAAGACTATTATAGATACGCTAGAATACTTGATTGCTTGAATCAGCAATGGTGCGATTTCATCACCTTTCTCAAGCGGCTTATCGTCACGAAAGGACAAAACGAATTCTCAGTTGAGAGCAACATTAAGATGGCCGGTGAAGTTGTTGCGGGTTTCACCTCTAAAACTTACAAGCACATCATACCTTTTTGGAGCATTTGGCCTAGAGCCCGACCTTGAGGACACAGAAACCACCACAGTTTGTTTCAGGGTGCAGTTTAGACGCTCTCTTTGCCCCCCTCCCCTTCAAAGAAGATAAAAAGAATAACAAAGAAGATGTAAAAAAAAAAAGAAAAAGAAGCTTACAGTAAAAACGACAGTAAAATCTTAGGAAAAAATGAAGTGAAGGAGTTGTTTTTGAAAGAAAATGCATGAAAGAAAGAGAGGAAAATGATAATCTCAAAGGAGGGAGGACTTTAAGTTCGTTCCTTGTCCGCTCTTCAAGCTGAGAGAGAGACCAGAAAGTAAAAGAAGTTTCAGGCGACTGAACGGCGGAGTGAAGAAGGCAGAAGTTCAAATTCAAAAAGAAGGATGAATAAAAGCTGCTTAAGTATGGTCCACAAAACGTGGAATAGGTGGCTGGTAGCTTTGGGGTTTCTCTTTCTCTACGTTTTCCAAAGCTATATGAGCCATCATGCAAACATTAGTAGTATTTGTATTGCACTGCACATTCTTCCATGTAACCATCCCCCTATATTTGAAGAAGCCTAGCCCGACGGTAGCAAAAATGCGCTGGTCCTTTGTTACTCTGTTTCTTTTTATAATAGACAATTTTTTGAATAGTTATTTTTTTGGGAAAATGACAAGAAAATGACTGTTGAATTCTAAAATGACAAAATGGGCATGTAAATTACTGAAATGACAAAATGGGTATGGGGTATCAATCTGGAATTTGAGTAATTCGCCAAAAAGACTGAAATGCCCTTAATTTTTTCGGGAATCAGAGGGCGGGATATTGTGCAACGGAACTGGAGTTTGGTTGGCGGTTCTCCACTCGGCGAAACTGCATAGACCATAGGGTTCTCCGAACTCTCACATTGCACTCGGCGAAACTACATATGGTTGTCGCAAGTCTCACATTGGCATGGTTGAGGAACTGTGAACGAGGAATGTGAATAGCGTCCGGCTTCTTCGTCTTTTCCGTGGGTCGTAGTGAGAAGCAATAAACCAGTGAGAAGCTTCAATCTTCAGAAGGGAGAGGGGGTGGCTAGAGAGAGAGATTTCGAGGGAGAGCACCTGTAAGGTCGTCACCGGTTGAGGAAGAAGTCGATATTCGTTCGGACCCCGGTAAGCCACCCAAATGTCTCCGTCTTGTGCTTGTCTGATTGGAGTGTTTTAATTTGGGGAAAACGGTGAATGTTGGTTGTAAAGGGGGAAGCAATGGTAAAGGCTTAAAATGGAATGTAAAGGTAGATTAGATTAAAAGTCGGTGCTTCTGTGTGTGACGGAATTACAGAAGTTGCTTGCTTGCTCTGATTCATATAACTCGGTCCATGTTTGACGAGATATCTCTCTGATTGTTGTTGTCTGATTGCTGTGTTGCTGTAATGTTGGAAGGCATAATATACGTGTGTGTTTATGATTGCTACACTACTTTTTAGATGCCCATAAATTGAGACCACTGTCGCACATGAGCCAGGATGCTTCCTGTTTCCGCCCCCTTGTTTGGTCTGTTCGTGTAATGGGCATTGCACATTTTTAGCATTGTGTATGGGACTAAAATGAGTTCAACTGTATCCCCATATTGGTTATGCAAATTTAACATTGTAAAATAAATTGAAAGGGGTGACTTTTCGTGGGTAGAACTCTGTTTTGAAGATATAGCTACCTAATGGGCATAACCTCAGTCATTTAGCGGTGCAATTTACCTGGGGATGAACATGCATATTCATTTCAGTATGTACCAAGTGAGAATAACCTTTGTGGCCTTCTTATGTATTGGTATAATTTACTTGGTCATCTGTGGCACTGTGTAGTAGTAATTTCCATAATATAAGTTACTTGAAGATACAAATTTTGTAACATTTCATCGAGAAAGAATCACTTTTAATGCATATTCATTTATTTTTGAATCTGTTGGTCTGAGGATTGAAGAGGTAGAGATTAATCTGCTGGTTTGAGGATTGAAGAGGTAGAGGTCGCTGAAGTGCTGAGAAGCATCAATCGCATTGCTGTCATGGAGGAGGTTGGCGAAGTAACTGTGACTGCGACAAACGGTAATATGCAGTTGTAATAGGAATTAAGTGGTTGAGTTATATAGGTTTGGTAAGTTAGATTGTTTTTAGTTTGTTGTTAAAGTGTATTATGTCATTAGTCTCTATTTTCTGCTCTGTTCTGTGAAGTGAGAAAGAAGCAATAACATTCATTACGTGATCAGCAAATTTAGTTATATGAGTAGTAAATAGTCGAGGTTCATTTTGTGGCTAAATAACAACACCTATAATGTGAATGACTACACTGGAAATGGTAATGACAACTTTTTTGAAATGCAAAGAAAGTTGAGCTGTTCAACTGACCAGATTTAGTTATTTATGCTTGTTGTAGAAGGAGGGCCAAGTGAAGAAGTGAAGAATGGCTACATGTTGTTTAGACGAGAATTTCTTAAGGGTGGGGAGAAGTTTAAGAATATGTCTGAACAAGCGAAAAAGGCATCAAAGGCATGGAAGCAGTTGACACCAGAGGAGCAGAAGAAATACAGTGATAGGGTGAAGCAATCAAGAAAGGAAGGGATGAAGAAGAAGAGGAAGAAAAAAGTGGCTTTTAGCACTCGTTGCTCGGTTCGGCAATTTAAGTCATTAGTGGACTTCATAAAAGATGATGAAGATTTGAAAGTGAGGGTACAAAATTTAGGCTTTGGCCATTTACTTGACATTGGATGTGAGAGACTCCCTCGTGACCTCATAGTATGTGTTCTCCGAGCATATGATCCGCCTACCCATCAATTTCTAATAAGAGGGATAATAAAGGAAATAGAAGCAAATGATGTTGCAAACTTGTTGGGTGTACCCCACACAGGGGAGAAGGTAAAAATGGACGTATGTGATGATGATGAGACATACCAGAGGTTGAAGGAGGAATTTGGTAAAGTCCCTTATACGAAGATACTCAATGACATTAAATCTGGGCAGAAGAAAGATGAGTTTGAGTTCCTGTTTATGCTGTACACACTTGGGAGTTTTTTAACTCCTACTTCACAAACAACTGTGAGTGACAAGCTAATAAGAGTCATGTGCTGTACCATGAAGGGATTTCACCAATTTGATTGGGCCACGTACATTGTGAAGCACTTGTGGAAAGAGATGGGAGATTATGTGAAAGTGTACACAAAAGCAAAGAAAGACGAAGATGAAGATGAAGGAAGCTGCAATGTGGGAGGATGCATCTACCTCCTGTTGGTATGTATTTCTGACTTATGCTTCTAAGTTATTGTTTTCTTTATTTGTGGAATTGGCAAGTTAATGATTTACTATTGTAGTTATATTTTGCTGAGCACTTCCCACTATCCAAAACTGTTGAGAGAGGGTCCCTAAATGCCATTCAATTCTGGACTGATGAGAGGATAAGGAAGCTGGAAAAGAAGGAGAGGGAAAGCAAGAGGGGTTTACTGTATAAGGGCAAGGGAAGTATGGATAGAAGTGGGAAGGATGAAGGAAAACGCAGAAGTGTGGCTCATTTACACCCGGTATGTGCTTTCATTACTAATTTTCATTCTCATTAGCAAATAATCTCATGAAAAAAGTGTTTACTCATTTTAAATTGTTTGCTGCAGGAGTTACAGAAGTTGCACGGACGATTGATGGCTCAGATCGAATTAAGCACTATGAGGCTTATAAGTGCAATGGAAGATGAGCTAGATAAGGTGCAGATAAGGATAGAGGAAAATAATGTGACCACAGATGATGAGGACCCTATTGACGTCCCAGATGATGATAAGGGAGATGATGATGCATTTGGCGATGAAGACTCCCATGATCATGATGGACATGAGTCTGATGACGAAGGTGATGATAGAGATGAGTTCCACGGGGGAGATGGTCAGGGAGACGATGATGCAACTGGCTCAGATAGGGGTGATGACATTGGTGTTGCAGCAGAAGGTGCAGACAAAGAAATTATGGAGTCTCCCCTGCCCTTGTCCCCCATGGACAAGGGATGTCAACTCCGGAGATCGCAAAGGGAGATGAAATCCGCTATCAATTCTCCATGGATTTTGACAAAGCCAACTAAGAGGCGAAAGAGGCCCATGGATGACAAGGACCGGTTTTATGACATAGTTTCCCGTATGTGTTCAAGCAAGGAGGGTGACATGTATGTACATATCCACTACCCACGTAATCATATTCATTACAATTTTGTGGTAATTGACTATATGCATAATGATATTGACAACATATTTTTAGGCCTTTGGTGAAAATCTCTGATGAAGATATCACTCGGGATCAGCTAAGGACACTTGGCGGAATTGAGAAAATAGGTAACCGGGTAAGTAGAATATTTGTGATGAGGTCATTTAATTGTTTAGTAGATGCTGCATTTTGGGTTCATCAAAACAATAATCTCTTTGCGTACAGCTGATGTCAACTGTGTGCAAGACTCTAATGGCTGATATGGAGAAGGAAGGGCAGGTGAAGCGGCACATTTTTTATGCTGATTTTATGGTAAGCTTGCTGAGATGTTAGTTTTTTGTCGATTGATATTGATAAATGACTAAAATGTTCATGTTTCAGGCAATAATGGCAGCTAACCCAAAGCTGTGGGATGCTACAAAACGGAAGAAACAATTTTTACCTGAAAATGTAGGCTACAACATAGGAGAATGTGATTTGATCTTTGGACCCACACTTGTTGGCGCTCACTGGTTCTGTGTTGTGCTTGAGCCTAGCACAATGAATTTCTATGTGCTGGACTCAATGAAGCCAAATTTAGAGGGTAAGAAGAAGAGCAAGAAGAAGGGTGTAATTATTGATGACATGACGACCGTCGTCACTGAATGTGTAAGGATAATGCAACTCATCTTCTATGATTGACATTTCATTTACCTTTTATTTACAATTGCGTAATGATATTGTGCAGAGGAATAGATTTTATGACATTATTGAGATAGTTAAGCCTAATGCCACTGGGAAGAAGAAAATGAGTGATATCATTTGGGCTCCTGTTCCGCAACAAAACAATCTGTGAGTGGTTTATGTTGTTGATATTATTACGTCTCAAAGTAGCCCAATGTGTTATTTTCATTCTTTTACATCGTTGGTATGTTTTGATGTGCAGGCGAGACTGCGGTGTTCATGTATTAATATGGTTGAGTAAATGGAAGCCCGGTGAGATACTTCACTATACGGATGAACAAGTGGCTGAATTCCGACGAAACCTCATGTGGTGGCTAGTGAATCATGAGCTTAATTCAAGACGTGATGAAGCATTAAGCTTGCTTTCATCAACCCAAGCCACCACACTGACCAAAAGACGCCATCTGTGATAGGAGGAGACATTATGTAGATTAGGCATATAGTATTTGTAAAAGGAGTGTTAGTTTGAAGTCTTAATATTTGAAGTCTTATGTAGTTTGAAGTCTAAGTGGCTGCCAGTTGTTGGCCTAATTGCAATCCTTTTTGGGATAATTTGAGTAAAAGAGTTATGAAATTTACAACATGCCATGTGACTTCCGTGATGATAATCACAAGTTGATTATTTGTGCCCCAAATTACATCCACTTGGACCCAGGTTAACTACACAAGTAATAGGATTAACAACTTTCGGATTGAGAATTGCAACCTCTGTAATGATAGTTACGACATCGCTGTTGCCATTTGCATCTGAAGTCTTTCAAGCCCAAATCACTTTTTTGAATCCATTTTCGCTAGAATGACAACATTGGTAATGAAAATTACAACTTTTTTAATGATTGTTACCACCTCGCTATTCCTTTTTGCAACTGCATTTTCGTCCCCACGTATAAATTGTCAGAATTTCACAACCTGGGTAATGAAAATCACAACATTGTTAAGGGAAATTGCAACTATAGTAATGACATTTACCACTATGGTTTCCCCATTTGCATCCCCATGTTTAGGAAATTGTCCCATTTCCGGTTCCTTTAAGTCAATCCCACGCGAAATTGTTCAGGAAATTTGACTACCCCCATAATGATAATGACAACATGGGTAATGTTAATTGCAACTTGAGTAACGACATTTACCGGTCTGCTTTTCCCATTTGCGGTTCCCTTAACTAAGACCCACGCATCAAATTCTTCAGGAAATTTGACTACCCCCGTAATGATAATGACAACATTGGAAATGTTAATTGCAACTTGAGTAATGACATTTACCACTCTGCTTTTCCCATTTCCGGTTCCTTTAAGTCAAACCCACGCATCAAATTCTTCAGGAAATTGACTACCCCCGTAATGATAATGACAACATGGGTAATGTTAATTGCAACTTGAGTAACGACATTTACCGGTCTGCTTTTCCCATTTGCGGTTCCCTTAACTGAGACCCACGCATCAAATTCTTCAGGAAATTTGACTACCCCCGTAATGATAATGACAACATTGGAAATGTTAATTGCAACTTCCGTAATGACATTTACCACTCTGCTTTTCCCATTTCCGGTTCCTTTAAGTCAAACCACGCATCAAATTGTTCAGGAAATTTACTACCCCCGTAATGATAATGACAACATGGGTAATGTTAATTGCAACTTGAGTAACGACATTTACCAGTCTGCTTTTCCCATTTGCGGTTCCCTTAACTGAGACCCACGCATCAAATTGTTCAGGAAATTGTACTACCCCCGTAATGATAATGACAACATTGGAAATGTTAATTGCAACTTAGTTATGACATTTACCACTCTGCTTTTCCCATTTCCGGTTCCTTTAAGTCAAACTCACGCATCAAATTCTTCAGGAAATTGTACTACCCCCGTAATGATAATGACAACATTGGAAATGTTAATTGCAACTTCAGTTATGACATTTACCGGTCTGCTTTTCCCATTTCCGGTTCCTTTAAGTCAAACCCACGCATCAAATTGTTCAGGAAATTTTACTACCCCCGTAATGATAATGACAACATGGGTAATTTTAATTGCAACTTTAGTGATGATATTTACCACTCTGCTTTTTCCACTTCCACTTCCTTTATTTCAAAGTCAAGTAACATATTTTCAGGGAGTTTCACTAGCCTGGAAATGATAATAACAACATTGGTAATGTGAATAACAACATCGTTGATGACATTAACCACTCCAGTCATACCCATTGGCAACTTCCACCATCTCCCTTGAGGGCATTAAACAAAAGGTCATCTGTGTTGCCAAAATAGCATAGAAGTACACCAAAAGAGCATCATAGGATGTCTGCATTAACATTTAGACTTTACTACATGTGTAATTGAATTTACCACTGAAGTGACAATATTTACCAAAAACCAGTAGGCCCATCACAGAAGGTACATAACTTATATTCAAATGACAAGTTAACAGTAAGATTAACCCACTACCTAATGTTTCGTCCCCATTCACATTACAAAACATATCCTACCCAGTGAATATCATTTACAAAAAGGATAGCCTACCCATCATACGATTTTTACATTAACATTCAGACTTTACTATATCTGTAATGGAATTGACCACTGACGTAATGATATTTACTAAAAACCAGTAGGCCCATGACAGAAGCTACATAACTGATATCCAAATGACAAGTTAACATTAGGATTAACCTACCGCCTAATGTTTTCTTGTCATTCAGATTACAGAACATCTCCTACCCAGTTAACATCATTAACAAAAAAGATAGCCTACCTATCAACCCTTCTCCCAAAAAAATTAAAAAGGGTTCAAGAGTCATTCCTTTCCTATAACAAAAAAATTACCCCTGTTGGTATTGACATGAAACCTTAAGTTGGGTTTGGATTCTTGCATGTTCTTCTTGTGTGGCCAACTTGCTGGCATGCACTACAATGGTAGACCTTCTTGTTTTGAAACTGCGACTCTTGCCTATTTATCCTAGGCCTTCCAGGTGGTCGACTAGTCAAAGGTGGTGCCAAAAACACTTGACTTGCTATATCTTGCAGCCGATAGTTATTAGGATTTGGCATGTCGATTGTCACCACTGGAGTCATCGTCCTACCATAAATCTTTTGTTGGGACGTAATCTTGTAGCATTCTTCAACAAAATCATACACATTGCAATTCAAGGCCTTGATAGCTGCACATGCATGTGGGCATGGGATGCCTGACATTTGCCAAGCTGCACAACTACATTCACCTTTTCCAAGATCAACATTAATGGCTCCTTTTGCTGTATGGACACACACCCTACCCCTTCCGTAAGGAACACTTAACATCTGTGCAGATCTCGCCACATTTTCCATCAATGTTGCATTTGTATTTGGGCCTACACCATTCTTCCATTTGCTCATTGCCATGCTTGCTGCATACATCTTCTTGGCTACTTTTTCACGATGCTCATGTATAAGTTGGGCAACATTATATCTTCTCTCCTTCAGCATCCACGCATTGAATGACTCTGCAAGGTTTGTTGTTATGTTGTCCCATCGTTTAAAAGGGAACTTGCTTAAGGCCCACTTGTGAATATCACCATGATTGACAAGCCATTCAAATAATTGGGAATTGAAGTGTCTCATGTTATCCATTGCTTGATCAAACTCTGTGTCAAGCCTTGCATATGCAATGGCATCTAGGAAATGCAGTCCATCCTCCCTTGTGTTGCCACTTGTCTTCCTTCTTCCTCTATTTAACTTGATCATTTGTGTACTGAAATTCTCCTTAACATGTCTGTAACAGTACGCATGTCGCTCACCTCCGAATATTGCTTGCACAGCACCTATAATTGCATTGTGTCGGTCTGAAATGATTGTTAATTGCATTGACCCAATTATCTCCTTGATCATATGTAAGAACCATGTCCAATCCTCAAGCGTCTCTCCCTTCACAATCGCAATGGCAAAAGGTAATAATTCGTTGTCCGCATCATAAGCCGACGCTGAAAGTAGTGTCCCCTTATACGGTCCACTTAAATGACTTCCATCAATATACAGTACATGTCTAGCACCAGCAATAAAACCCTCTATACAACACCCATAGGCTATGAATACACGCTCAAATCTGTTGTTCCTTGCAGCCACCCATTTTGCCACTGTTTTGTCATCGGTTTCCTTCAACCGGTCACATATCCATGGAATAAGCATGTAAGAATGATCAGGTCTGCCATGTATGTCCTCCAACGCTTTTTCCTTGGCCCTGTATGCTTGCTTATATGTCAACTTCACACCATAATCTCTTTCCAACCTCTTTTTTATATCATTTGGACGCATGTCTATATGATCCCTAACCTCTTCAATTATAATTGATGATGTCAAGCTAGCTGATCTACCATGTGTCACATGAAGATTGTCTTGGGCATTATGAACATGCTCATTTTTGAATGTCGTTACACGTAAAAATGCTGGAGTACTCTTTACAGCTGCTCTTGCACTGATCCTCCATGGACAACCTTCAACATTGCATTTGACATACATATGGGCATTAGAATTCTTCACATATTTATACTCAAATTTGTTTGCAATGCTGAATTTGTGTAGTTTCTTCTTGAAATCATCCGCATCTGGAAAAGTCTGCCTCAATCCTAACAATACTGTTTTCCATTTCAGGGAATTCATTCCTGGCAAAGGAGTTGGTGCACTCTCTACTGCATATGGCAGGCTAAGAACATTTTCAGCTGCTATGTAATTCACACATTCGACAGCATCCTCAATCATTGGCTCATCATTTTGCTGTGACAGTCCTGACAATTTTGACATGCTGCATGTATAATTACAACATTTGTTATGATATTAACAACAACATTATCGCAAGTAACAACTTCCATAATCCGAAACTTGTGACTTACCTGTTTCGATCAGCCACTTCTTCCTCCGTATTCTCATTACCTTTAGCTGCTACGTATACATGTGCATTACTATCATTATACTCAAATAGGTTGTCAACTTCATCATCATCAATAAGATCTATTAATATCCTATCATTCAAGCCCAATGTGTATTTAATGTCGCAACCATTACTATCTACACCAAACCATTCTCCTATCATAACCCTCAAATCTTCAAGCCTTATACCCTCCTTGATCACTCTTACCCTGACAGTTCCACCATAGTACTTAACTTCACCATCACCATTTTCTGCAAACTTCCCACCCACATGAAAGTAACAAGCAAGACGCTTTGAAGATGTTGACCCAATGTTAGATGTCATCAAAGCTACCTAACCTGCACCACAGAAGCATAAATCAATATTTTAGTTCCCCAATAATCAATTTCATTTATCAGGATTTCGAAACTTTTCTTGCGATTTCACAAAAAATGCAACACCCAAAATACGTCCGCGCACACTTGCTACATTGACAACTTAAATATGGGATTTCACAATTCCAATAATGAATTTGACAACACTGACCACCTCATGCTTACTGTTAGCCCTCAATCTTCATGCCCACGTTATCAGTTCCCACCATTTTTTCATTTCCGATGTATCACTCTCTCATCCTGGTCAGATTCTTCATTTAAACCATCTACACTCATAAACCCATCCCCATTAGACCATGTACCAGTAAACCGACTTGAAAACCCAAACCCATCATTAAGCTCCACTTTCTTACGTAATACCCACGTTCAACCCCTCTCTCACTACAAACCAGGTTGCCCACACAGCAATTCCACCGTAATGAATCAGATTTGTACAATGGTGAGAGTTGGAGGAGTAGATAACAGCATTTTAGGAGAAATTTTCCTTACCTTTTCCGTCTTCTCAGCGTTCGACTCTGCTCCGCCTCCGTTTTCAGCTTCTCATCTCTCCCTCATGTTACGTGTCATGCCTTTGTCTTCATGAGTTCAGACTGATTCAGGGGCATTTCAGTCTTTTTGGCGAATTACTCAAATTCCAGATTGATACCCCATACCCATTTTGTCATTTCAGTAATTTACATGCCCATTTTGTCATTTTAGAATTCAACAGTCATTTTCTTGTCATTTTCCCTATTTTTTTTATAAGATATATTTTAGAGTTTTTTAAATATTTATTTATTTTTAATTTTAGTCTTAACTTATTAAATGTCTCTCTCATCTCTTTTTCCCATTCACTCTCTCTCCCACCCACATTTTCCTTTGAAAAACAAAATTTAATTTTTACATGTTTACTGTACCTAACTAATTTAACTAGCTTTTGAAACAACGCAATTTGATTAATTTTATGTTATAAAAAGAACAGATGGAGTACATTACAATACACTATATATATATAAGATATTTAAAATATTACTTATATTGAATTATTTTTATAATTAAATGTGAATATTTTTGAAACATTTATTTAAATTATAGTTTATAAATCATGATCGATTTAACTTTGGGTTGAGTTCGATTCGACCTGTTAACTCTTAAATTAGCTGATATATTCATGAGGGGAGGTAGTATTAAATTTACATAAATGCTATGCATTGCAAGTTTGTCAACTCCATTTTTTCCCTTGAAGTATATTTGGATGCTACGTGTGGTGTAACGAATTGAAATATGTAAGAGACCTGGTTGCCTAATTAAGATGCACAAGGTTTGAAAACTGACACACAGATAATAATGTAAAAACCCCACCAACACTGACTGATAATCTACAAAGAATAATTACTACAATCGCTATAATATGGCAAGTTGGCTTGTGCAAATTATGGCACGTTTCGCTCATGTTCTGTTTTCAAGTCTCCACTTTTCATCTGCAAACATCAATATGCCAATCATAATCAGTTTAATTATATTTTAAAAAAAAATTTCATCTAAAGCTCACTCTAAAGGAGTAAGAGCTCATGCTCTGTTTTCTTTACTCTGTTTTCATCTACAAACACCATCATGCTCATTCGTTAAAAGTAACTTATCTTATTCACCTGCCAAAATTTTCATTAGTATGAAGTTTATAAAATCATCATTTCCCTGTAATGGAATTACCCAACTGATGAGGAAAAAGAAAAACCCAAAATTCACTTCATTAAATCGAATCTTGGAAGGCTTGAAACATCGACAAAGCGCTGTAACTTATAATCCTTATAACAAATAGATATTTAAATTTTGGGGAAACATATATGGGAGTGCTTATAATTTCACTCGATTATAGTTTATTTTCTTTTTATTAGATCCTTAGAGTTTTTTAACGTTAATTACTATTCCTTCTACTCATATCCTGTTTGCTATTCTAAAAAGCGCTTGTTTATCTAACAGGTGGTTAAGCAGAAGAGTTAGTTTTCAATAGTTTTCAGAACCGATTTTCTTTCCGACAGCATATTTGATGCTCCGCAAGTTCCTTGCTTTTAATAGTTCTCTCAGCTAGATCCCACACAGAGAAGGTAGCCCCAATTTCTTTTGAAAGAGGAACTGAGTGATTAGACGGTGAATATGAAGATGAAGCGATATAGGGGGGGAAATGCTTGGGTTTGTTGGCAATGGCAGAATCATCTTCAGGGAAGGAGACTGCTAGAAGATTCATGTTCTTATTGTTGTTGTTATCGGCGGACTTTATCTTTGCTTTCACCAATAAATCCATCATCGTCTCTGCTTGGCTCCATGGTCGTCCAAAATGCTGCGACGCTTTTGCTCTGTTTGGCCTTGTTTTTGGACGCTTTGGAAACAATAACGAAGAAGAGTTATGAGGCTTGTGTGTAACTCGTTAACGGTGGACAGGTAGAGGATTTCCTATTCTTCTTGCTTCAATAACGCTGAACAATGTTTTCTTAGATATGCATCATCTTTCTTGAATTTTCTCCCCATGTGAGGCTTGGTCCCTTTTTGCAACAGTGATGAAAAGAAAAGCACGGTCAAAATGCCATTTCATAGGCACAATCAATAGTGATGAAACTGGTTAAAGATGGACAGAACTAGTCAAGGTTGGTTTCCCTGTGCAAGAACCAGCTGGGAATAGTCTCAAAAGCAAGGAACTTGCGCAGCATCACATGTCGTCGGAAAGAAACTTGGTTTTGAAGACTACTGAAAACTACACTCTTCTTCAGGCAAAAAAAAAACAAGAAGAAGAAAATCTGCTTGACCATGTGACAGTCACCCGCCAAATAAACAAACCCCTTTTAGAATAGCAGGCAGAATATGAGCAGGACTAGTAATTAGCGTTAAAAAACTCTAAGGATCTAATAAAAAGAAAAACTATAATTACCTAATTCAAAATCCAGTGAAACTATAAGCACTCCCATATATGTTTTCCCTTAAATTTTCAACAATTATACACACCACATGGGCATCATAAAATACTATTGTACATGATAGCTTCAAGCTTCGTTACAAGTATAATTAAGATTAGCCATGAAGCAGTTCTTGCAGTGTGTCATCAGCCCTCATCAAGATATCCTCCGCCGCAGAAAAAGGCCCAAGCAAGGAGATGGAATTCCTGCACAATCAATTTCTCTTCACAATCTACAATTGAAGTTAACAACATCTTGAAGACAATCCTTTACTCTGACACTGAAAAATAATTTAAGTTTAAATTATAGAGCCACACAATTGTTGACAGAGCATAATGGCGTCGTGTGATTCATGTAGCCGACCCCACCTAATAGGATAAAGCTTGTTGTTGTTGTTGTTGTATAGAGCTACGCAACCTGATTCAATAGACTTCTAACAGCAGAGAAAAAGAAGAAAGCATGGCAAAGAAAGGAAAAAGGTTATGAAAACAAAAGAAATTGCCTCAATATCAAAAGCATAAGCACTGAGAACTTACTGTTATGTTTCCGCACTATCAAATTATTTTTTATGTTTCTTCTTAAATTAAGAAACATAACAGTACGAACAAGAAGACGGCTATTTCAGTCCTAGGCTCCTAGCTTACCAGATTTGAAAAATTTCTCTGAAAAAAAAAACCTGCTGACCGCACCAAGTCAAAAAGCAGTCATGAAAGCAATGATCATAAACAAGGACATCAAAGGACAGAGAAGAGTTTAAAATCAAAAGGTAAAAAAAAAAAAAAAAACCAATATTTATTTTTGAAATTTGACAACCATATTCCGTCTGAGGTTATTATTTTTTTATGTTATCCATAAAAGCTTAAATTTAATACTTACTATGCCCAAAACCTATATTTCACAGTTGCCAGCATGCATCGGTATCAATGATATCAAGTATGAGTAAACGCTCCTCCTTTTCAGATGGAATCACACAGAAAAAAGTCTAGAATAAAATGCAAGAGGGAGATATTGATGATTAAGTAATGGTAGAAGGTTTATTACCATTAATGATCTGTTAGTGTTGTTTAAGAAATGGTTCTAGCTGATTTTGATTCTCATGAGCAAAGCTTCCAATTCTTCAATATCTTCTTGTCCATTAGGCTGAGCACACAACTCCATTTTCAATTTCTTGCATGAAGACACTGTTTCTTCCCCATCAGAGTTTCCAACTCCGGTTCCAAATTTACAGATTTCCATCTCCATTTCATCAATATCTCGATGCCGCTTTGACCTCTTGCCCAACTCACACTTCATTTTCCTTTGTTGAATGAAATTCTGATATTCAGAGGCATATATGGGGCAGATCCCACACTCTTCGATGAAGCCATCACAAGAAACGAAACTAAACAAAACCTTTTTGTTAGAAGTGGTGTCTTCACCATTTCCATTGCCTCCTTTAAATCTCTCCAATACTAATTTAGAGAAGTATGGATCACAACAAAGTAAAATGTGATCTGAGCTGAATTCTGCATATTGTGGATCAAAAATCTGAAATTCAACTGCTTCACCTTCTTCAAAGGAGCACTTGCAGGTCACAGCCGCTTGATTTTTTTCCTTAGAGATGAATTGAGGAATGACTGAACAGAAAACAAAACCCAATAAATGATCAGAGGCCAAAGACAGTTCTATGGTTACCAAACCCTTTGTTGACCGATTATAGCCAAACCACAATGGAACACTGTTTCCAGGATAAAAAACTGTAAATCTTTGCTTGTTATGTACTGCTTGCTTCAATGAGAACTCCACATGTTTCTCAATAGCACAACGTGAACGCTCGTTCAATTTCTCACAATTGTGAAATGAAATGAAATTATGACCATTTACCCGTAATAGCCTTGAAATTGTTGAAGCGAACACTCTCTCTAATGATGTGCAATTACTGGCCATAAAATTTCTAAGAGACCGTGGAAGCTGGGGTAAAAACTGAAGCTTAGTGCAACCATTCAAAGTAAGTTTTTGCAGCCGTGAGAGATGTTTGATATTGTTGGGGAGCTTAGTTAAGCCAGAACAGTCCTCCAAATCCAGTATTTGTAGACATTGCAGGGATTCAAATAGTATATGTAGCTTTGGTTCATCCACTAGGTGTCTGCATTTTCGAAGGCGAAGCTCCTTGAGAGATCTAAAACAACATAACTCAGTTATTGGAAGATTGCCAAGACTTGAAGCATCAAGAAGTAGAGTTTTGAGATTGCCAAGATGCCCAATTGAGGAGGTGTGCAGTGCTGGAACCAATTTTCCTACTTCCTTCAACAACTTACAGTTGATTGAAATTGATGGGCAGTTGGAGACATCTAGCTCTTTAACAGACATAGGGAGCTTTGGTAAACATTGAAGATTTCTGCAACTTCTCAAATGAAGCCTTTGAAGTCTTGAGAGTTGCTTGATGTTGTTTGGGAGCTCAGTTAAGTTAGAGCAATTCAGGAAGCTTAGTATTCGTAAAGCACGTAAGGCATCAAATAGCATGTGCAGCACATGTTTGTCAAACGCATAGTTGTAGATACCAAGATCCTCAAGAGATCTTAAGCAACATAACTCCTTTAGTGGAAGATTCTTCAATTTTGAACCATTGAGATGAAGACTTCTAAGCTTTGCAAGACTTCCGATTGATGGGTGTAGAATTTCTATACCAGTTGACCCTAAAAATAAACATCTTAGTTCTTTGGATGATAAAGAGAATTCCTTCAGATTAGGGCAGTCATGAACAAGGACTTTTCTAAGAGATCTTAAATGAGTATCGCTTTGGAGACTCTCGAGGTTTTTGCATTTGCCTAAATCCAAAGAAACAAGGCTCTTGAGAGATAAGATAGATGGATGGACATAACGCAAACTTTCACAGTAATATAGATTCACCAATTCCAGATTATGGGCCTTGGAGAAATCAGGCAACTGTCTCAGTTTTCTGGAAAAACGAAGATCTATTCTCTTCAAATTTACAAAATCCTGCAACAATTGACTAACAGACATCAGAAAGACTTCTTTCAATTATTAAAAATGAAAAACACACTAATTCACATTATACCTGCACGCCATCCCAAAGTGTTTGAACATGGCTGTATTGCATTTTCAGTTCAACAAGGCTCTCAGTACAAAAAGTTGATGGCAAAGAACCCAAAGGGTACCCATCCCACTGAAAGTACCTTAATTTATCAGAAATAGACTCAAGACCCTTCTGAAGATGCACATTGAATGATCCAGCATTGCATAAGGAATAAAATTTCAGGAATCTTAAATTAGTCATCTTTTTGAAGGTGTCGGCATCCAAGTATATATCTTTAATTCGAGACACATTTAAGATTATGCCTTCGACAGCTTCAGTTCCCTAACAATTATCAAAATGAAAATTAGAATAACAGTAAGTAAACTAAACCATGCTAGCTACATTTCTCACCAAGGATCACAGAGGTTTAAGAGATGAAGGGCTTACCCGATTGCTTCTCAATACATCATAGACTTCCTTAGGGTCCCATAATCTAGTGCGTCTTCCTGGTTCTTTAATACATTCTTGACGAACTATCTCCCAACCCATTTCTTGTATTAGATCATGCATCCACAATCTTTCACCCACAGTAATAAGAGCCTTATCTTGGAGGGTTCTAATGCTAATTCTTGCATGGAATCCATAGCTGTCTAATAGCTGTATTATATGTTCTTTAAGTTCACCTTTCAAAAAGCACGCAATGTCTAGAAATATTTCCTGCTCTTCATCGTTTAATCCGTTGTAGCTCAATTTTAACACTTCCTGAATATCTTCATGTGGAATCCTTTTGAATTTTCTTAACGCACTGTCCCATTCTTCTTTAGTTTTGGAGTAAAGAAAAGAACCCAGAACTATTAAAGCTAAAGGATTGCCTTTGGTGTAAGTAACAACCCTTTTTGATCGCTGTTCATATCCAATTTCAGGATGATCATTGTGAAAAGCTTTCAAGTTGAAAAGCTTGAAGGATTCTTGATACTTCAATGGCTTGGCCTCATATATTTCATTAACTCTACCAATAAGCATATGCCTATTTCTTGTTGTTATGATGACTTTACTACCTTGCCCCAAGCAATCACATTCTCTAGCGAGATAGTCTAATTGCTCTGAACTATCAACATCATCTAGCACAATGAAAACTTTTCTGCAGCTAAGCCTTCTCCTAACAAAAGTAGATCCCAAAACTTTAGGTTGGGTAAGATGGATATTTTCTTCCATAAGCAGCTCTGAAACAAGTTTATCACGTATATATTTTAATTCATGCTTTTCTGACTCTTCCCTTACATTTTCTAAGAAACAGCAACTTTGATATTGAGGAGATAGTTTGTCAAATACAACCTTAGCCATGGTTGTCTTACCTATCCCACCCATTCCCCAAACTCCAATTATTGAAAATTTTCTCAGTAACAACTCAATGCATTCACAATTTTCATCAATTCCAACAAGACCTTCTAATATACTTGGATACTTGCGATCCAATTTTTGCAAAACATCCTTAATAATGTTCTGAATTAGTTCAGCTTCGTCCCTAGCACACAAAAATATTGGAGAAAACAAAGAAAAGTCAATATACACACATATATATAGTATCATAGGAAGTGGAAAATAAAATTTGACGAACTAACTAGTAGTAAAGAACATAGCAGTTTAATAATACTAATTTAAACAAAAAAAGAAATTATTTATAAATAGGTTTTTATTATAAACAGGTTGTTATTCGTGTTTTGTACGGCTCCTGGGCTTAACCATGTCATACGACACGCATTCTCTTTTACGCTTTGACCGCCACATAGTTAGCATCAAGGCGTGTGAAAGATGAGGATGACTTGCCACGAGTCCATAAAATTTTAATTTTCGTGGAAAGAAAATCTTGGATTCACGCTTGTTTAGATGAGTTATTTTAAGTGATTTTATGCTCCATAATAAATATAAATATGCGAGGGAGTTTGTGTCATAAAATACAAAACCCCTTACAGAATAAGTAATCCAAAACATGGATGTCCAAGAAAGACGAAACCAACTACTCGATCCGAAATAATTGAGTAAAAACCATTCAATATTGGTAAAGGAATAATTACCTGAAGGATTGAGAGTGCCATCCAGCTAAATTGGCAGTTTCAAAAAGAGCATCTTTCCATTTCTTCAACTTGCCCTGGTTGTGCCTGAAATCTCTCTCATGTTTTGCAAATGCCTCCTGGTAAGTCCCCTTCTGCTTGCGAACATCTGATGGGTCAACCTTGTAGAACACAGGAATAACAAACTGGCCTAAATCTTTCCTGCACTGGAGTATCTGGGTGAGTTCATCCAAGCACCATTTTGAGGAAGCGTAGTTCTCTGAGAAGACCACGACAGATATACTAGAATCCTTGATTGCTTGGATGAGAGATTCCGAGATATCATCGCCTTTGGGAAGCTCATAATCAATAAAGGTTCTCAGGGACTTGTGGGTGAGAGCAGAATGAAGATGGCTGGTGAAATTTGTGCGTGTGTCCTCTCCTCTAAAACTGATGAACACATCATAGTTCTTTGAATAAGTTGATTGAGAAGAAGATATTAAAGCAGAAGAAGCAGTACCCATCGCAGTGACTCCTGGCAGCTACTTTTTTTTTTTTTGGGGGGGGGGGGGGGGTTAAAAAGAAAAAACTCGGCTTTTTGATCAGTCAAGAATGACAATGAGGAGGTCGCGATAGTTGATGAAGATGCGAAAAATGCAGTTTCATTAGTAAAGGAGCCGCTCTGCAGAATCGACTCGAAATCGACGACGATGATTGGATGGTAGGTCCATAGGGGTGTTTGGCTGAATTTTTCCGGGAAAATAGCCAAACACCCTATTTTAATCTAAGGGGGTGTTTGGATGAGGCAAAACCATAGTTTGTAAAATAGTTTCTGGAGAATAGATTCTGGAAAGAATAGATTTTGAAAGAATAGATTTTCTGGAAAAGTGATTCTGATAAAATGAGAGTGTTTGGATAATTATTGTCAGAAATGCTTTTTGATATGTAGAAATTACTAAAAAGGACATAAGTTTAAATGATAATTACATATAATATATATTTCATAATATATGTTTATTTGAAGTAATAAATTTATTAATAATATATATTTTGGCAACATAATAAATATGACATAAATAATATAAATAATAAGAAATTAGTGTGTATATATATTAATAAAATAAATAAATATGTTTTTAGAAAAATAATTTATTTTGCCAAATAATTGTACCCCTTGAGCTGAATGAGTACCCCCCGCGTGCTGAATGAGTACCCCCTGCGTGCTTGTTCCCTCCGTGAGCTGACCGTTGAAGAAGCCAATAATTGTCCTCAGAAGCTGCGCCCCGCCTGTTTATCTGGAACCGAGGTTTTGCCCAAAACCTTGGTTTTAAAAAAATTAATGGGGGTGTTTGGCAAATTTTTTGCCAAACCATGGTTTGGCAAAAAAGCCAAACACCCCCTAAAACCATGGTTTTGGGGGAAACCATGGTTTTGCCCCCCAAAACCATGGTTTCGGATAAAGCTCTCCGGAGCTGCTTCTGGCTTATTCTGGCTTATCGCTGATAGTGGGCCCAAGAAATATTACAGAGAGCAGTGTCAATTATTTGCCATTCCTTCACTCTTCCTCAATCCTACGCAACAGAGGTCCTTCACTCTCGGTGCTTCGCTTTGAAGAAAACAGAGCTCTTTGGTCCTTCACACCTCTGTCCTTCGCTCTTCGGTCCTTCGCTCTCGGCAGCAAAGCACACTCGGCTGCAACAATTTGTTCCATCCTTGCAGAACTGGGTTCTGTAACGAGAGGGTGAAGCCAGCATTCAATCACTCTATGAGCAAACTCGCACGATTCACCTTTCTTGCAGTTACCTTTGCAACAAGAAGTTCTTCTCCGCGTGCTGCTTGGGTATCACCAATCAATTCAGCTTTCCCACGTCGCTTGGCTTGACGATTTTCTCGAACAGCTGCTCACGCGCTTTCTGCGTCCTCTCAAAGCATGACACTGTGCCGCCGTCCTTCCATGACTTCCCGTTGCTTCCCCTGGCCAAACCTCAGTTGCGCTTGCTCTGCTCGAGTTCATCATTGTAGGTGTGCTTCCTCAGCATGTCCACGATCTTGGCTTTGGAATGAGAGTTGAGGAAGGCCGTCTCGGTATCGTCGTCCGACGCATCGTCAAAGCTGTTGCCGTTGAGGGGCTTGAAGTTGGTGACGGCATCCTTGCCGCGGAACCTTTGGGCAGTGATGTTGTAGGCTCTGGCAACCTCATCTTCCTCGTTGAACGTACCCAGCCAAACACGCTGGTGCTTCTCGTATATCTGGGCCCCCCATCGTCCATTGGGTTGCGGCACCACTCCCTTGTATTTGGACGACGGCAGTTTCCTAGACTCAGCCTCAATAACGCTGCCATCGGAGTCCAAAACAGTGCTGGCGCCGCTGCCAACCCGGCAGAGACTATTTGGCGATGACTTGTGAGGCGTGACGTTGAGCAGCGATACAGTAGTTATGTCCGAAGAAAGCGATATGGACACCGAATCACTCGTCGTGCTTTCATCTACGCAACTACTTGCATCTATGTTTGCTTCTTATCTATGGTATGTGTGAGGAAAGCAAAAGAAGGAGAGGAAGAGAGAGAGAGAAGGAAGAAGGTATATGATATTTTGGACTAGAGGAGCACTGAAGAGGAGAGAGAAGTGTAGGAATAGAAGAAGAGGAAGGAATATATATATATATAGGGAAGAAGGTGTGGGGGGGGGGACTGTAATATATAATATTGGGGATAAAATGAAATGAAAAGGAGAGTATTAAAATTATGAGGGGATAAGTCCAACTATGGTTTAAAAATATCTATTGGTTTCATTTATTAGATCAACATCCATTTCTGATCCTGGTTTCATTCAGTTTGAACAAGAAGGTTCTTATGCAAAAGAAAAAAATTATGGGATTTCATCTTTAAAATCTTTAAGAAATAATAATTTTTTTTTGGCAAAATAAATCATTTTCCTAAAAACATATTTAATTATTTTATTAATATATATACACATTATTTTTTTATTATTTATGTCTTATTTATTATGTTGTCAAAATATATATTATTAACAAATTTATTACTTCAAATAAACATATATTGTGAAATATATCTTATATGTAATTATCATCTAAACTTATGTCCTTTTTAGTAATTTCTACATATCAAAAAGCACTTCTGACAACAACTATCCAAACACTCTCACTTTATCAGCATCACTTTTTCAGAAAATCTATTCTTTCAAAATCTATTCTCTCCAGAATCTATTCTCCAGAAGCTATTCTCCAGACTATGGTTTGGCCTCATCCAAACACCCCCAATAATTCACTCTCCTGTTAGCGGGGTGAAACACATCCATGTCCAATTTTTGTTTTTTTGGCCAAAGAAACATCCATGTCCAATTGCAATCATTAAAACAATAAAATAGACAAGTGGAACAAACAACAAAAGTCGTTGCCTTTTTTCTTTTTTTAAGTAGTATTTCTAATTCTCAATATAAAAATTAATTCATTAATTTAAATAAATTAAAAAAATTAATTAAGTTAATTATTTATAATAAGTAAATATTTAGAATTACCATTATTATTATTATAAGGACTATGTTGAAAGAAAATAAATAAATATAAAAGATAAAATAAAATAAATTGAAATCTTATATTTAAGATGAAAATAAAAGTCAAAGGAACTCTTATATCAAGGATCATATATAGCATAATATAATATTATTGTTATGAAATAGAACCAAAATGAAATCACAAAAGTAGAAAGATGAAGACAAGAGAATGAGAGAACTTTTTGTATTTCTTCACTTGCATTACAACACAAATGACATGCCCTATTTATAGGCATAGTCTTACACATAGGTTACAATTGTCCTTAAATGACAAATAGTGGATAATCAATCCCATGAATGTGAATGGATAGTGGAGGAGTAATGGATGGTAGAGGTAGTGGAAGTTACTTGGAGAAGATGAAGAGGAAGGGATAAATGGACATCCACATAATATTCATAACACTCCCCCTTGGATGTCCATTATACAAATATGTACCTCGTTAAAAAACTTCAACTAGGAAAAACCTTGTGGGATAAAAACCTAGAGAAGAAAAAGAGTACACATTCATTGATATGCTATTCAGTGCTGCCTCATTAAAAACCTTACTAGGAAAAACCCAATGGGATAAAAAACCATAGTCAAGGAAAAAGAGTACAGCATGTGTTAAACTCCCCCTCTTGGTAATATCAGTTGATATCTCTGAGTCTATGGCATCCGATATCATGAACAAGCTTTTCAAATATTGTACAAGGAAGTGACTTGGTGAACAAATCTGCCAGATTTTCCTTGGAACGGGTTTATCAGACGTCGATTTCACCATCCTTTTGAAGATCATGAGTGAAGAAGAATTTTGGTGAAATATGTTTTGTTCTATCTCCTTTGATGTACCCTTCCTTTAGTTGCGCAATACATGCAATATTATCTTCATACAGAATTGTCGGGATCATTTTGCTGGAAGACAAGCCACAAGTGGTTCATATGTGATGTATTATCGATCTTAACCATACATATTCTCTACTTGCTTCATGTATTGCAAGAATTTCTGCATGATTAGATGATGTGGCTGATATGGTTTGTTTCATAGAACGTCATGAAATGGCTATACCACCATATGTGAATAAATAGCCTGTTTGTGATCTACCGACATGTGGATCAGACAAGAATCCAGCATCTGCATAACCAATGAGGTTAGTCTTGGGTACATTTGAGTAAATAACCCCATGTCCATAGTACCCCTAAGGTAACGAAGAACGTGTTTAACTCCATTCCAATGTCTTCGTGTTGGTGACGAGCTATATCTTGCTAGTAGGTTAACAGTAAATGATATATCAGGTCGTATGTGACTAGCAAGATACATGAGTGCACCAATTGTACTAAGGTATGGTACTTCTGAACCAAGTAGTTCTTCATCATTTTCTTGAGGTCTAAAAGGATCTTTATCTTTCTCCAAAGACCTTACAACCATCGGAGTACATAACAAATGTGATTTATCCATATAAAAATGCTTTAAGACCTTTCTTGTATAGGTTTCTTGATACAAAAAGATCCCATTTCTTGAATATTCAATTTGCAATCCAAGACAAAATTTTGTTCTTCCCAAGTCCTTCATTTCAAATTCTTTCTTTAAGCAACCCATAGCTTTTGCAAGCTCTTTAGGAGTTCCAATAATATTTATGTCATCAACACAAATCGCAATTATCGCAAACTCATTTCCAGATCTTTTCATAAAAATACATGGGCAAATTGGATCATTCTTGTATCCCTCATCCAACAGATATTTACTTAAACGGTTATACCACATACGCCTTGATTGCTTCAATCCATACAGAGATTTATTTAACTTAATTGAGTATCGCTCTCGAGAACTTGAATTGTATGCTTCTGGCAACTTGAATCCTTCAGGGAGTTTCATATAAATATCATTGTCAAGTGAGCTGTATAAATAGGCTGTAACAACATTCATCAGACGCAAATCGAGTCCTTCTTTTACTGCCAGACTAATTAAATATCGAAAAGTAGTTGCATCCACCACTGGTGAGTATGTTTCTTCAAAATCGATACCAGGTCTTTATGTAAATCCTTGGACAACAAGCCGTGCCTTATGTCTTACAATTTCACCATTTTCATTTCTTTTTCACACAAAAACCCATTTGTATCCTATTGGTTTTACATCTGCAGGTGTATGGACTACAGGTCCAAACACTTTTCGCTTTTCCAGTAAATTCAATTCAGCCTCAATTGCATCTTTTCATTTTGGCCAATCTTTTCTTTATTTACATTCACTAATAGACTTTGGTTCATGATCCTCATCATCATTCATCATATCAAGCGCTATATTATATGCAAAAATATCGTCAACATTGACTTCATTTTGATCCTATCGTATTCCATTCATAACATAATTTATTGAGATCTCATCATTTTGCACATTCAGGTAGCTGAGTTTCTTTTGGAATTGAGACATTAGCATTATCTAATGACTCCTCTTGAATTGCAATTCTTTCTTGATTATCCTCGACTTGGCCATTGATAAATCCCTATTTTAATATATTATTTAATGTCTTTTTGGGGATATTTATCAATTAAAGTGGAATAATTTGCATTGATTTTAGATATTTTGAATTAAATATTGGTGGCGCAAAATTAGAAATTTAAAAGAAAATCTTATCATATTTTATCTCTTTTTAAATAATTGATTTTGGACTTTATGATAGTATCTCAATTTATCTTTTGCAGGTCTCAGAAAAGGAAATAAACATAAAAGGAAAGTTGAAACAAAAGGAAAAGAATTAAAAAAAAAAAAAGAAGAAGGAAAGAAAGGAAAGAAAGGGACGGAAGAGAGGGAAGGCATGGATTTTGGAAAGATATTAGGTTATATATTAAATCCATCAATTGCAAGACGGAGGATATATACACACAATCATGCCGCCAACGCCTATTGCACCACACGCATACATAGCTTCCAAATCTATTTATTCAATTCCATAGACCACGCCGCCACCCCCCCACTCCTTTCCTATATATATGGCCGACTCGCACTCACACACCGGGAGTTCCTTCATAGTCGCACGCAATATCACGCCGCCGCACACTGCAATTCTCCACCTCCAGTCTTCACCTATTCTTTTCGGTCAAGAACGTGGCAGCTGCACTCTTTATAATCTTCCATATTCTTCTCCTCCATCTATCCTCCATGACTACTAAATCTTTGGCACGAGTTGTAGCTTGGTTCAAGACTATGAGAGGCTGAGTTCGCTGTGCTCTTTGGGATTGAATTCAATGACTTGAGTTTGGGAGCTACAAAGAGGAGTTTAATTCTAGTCCTTAGTTTAGACTATTTTGTTGATGATTTCTAGTTTGAAGTTTGTTATATTTGGTTTAAAGCTAAGAATTGCTAGTTGTAATTCTTGGTTTGGATTGGAATTGCTAAGATTTGGATTGGTATTTATAAGTTTGAGTACTTGGGTTATACATATATTTATGTTTATGCCTTTGTTAAGTCATTGTTAGTATGATTTTTATGCGAGTTGTATAAAAATTATGCTTGAAGTGAATTTAACAAGTAATTAATGTTCTAGTTGAGTATTAATTTAAAAGGAATAACTTATATAAACCAATCTTAACCACTTAAGTTACTCCCATATCATTAAACAAGCTAGGATAGTCATTGATTCATTCCTCAAGAGCATTCTTGTTATTGATTTCTTACAATTCAAATTTGCATTTTTCATTCTTTCTTAAAAATACCAAAAAAAAAGTAGTTTAGATTTATTTCTTACTCTCTTAATCAGTTTTATTAATTGAAAAATCCTTTTTCAACCCCTCCTTTCAATTCTTTGTCACTTAGTTAACTAAAGAATTAATAAAAAAGCTCCTCAAGAGACTCGACCCGAGTTGTGCTTTACTGCATAATTTGGTTTTATTTTTGATTTAACCCAAGGCGACTAAAAAGGTTCAAATCAGCCATCTACATTTTTAGCTCTTTTTTTCTTTCGAGGATTTTTATCTTTGGAACCAATGAGCCTGTCACGCTTCATGCGTGCTTTAGATTCATTTACAATAGCAGGTTGTCCAACAGGGACATCAATTTTGATAGGAGCATTAGCAGCTGGAACATGTGATTTGGTTACTTTCTTTGGGTCAGTAAATGCGTCTGGCAACTGATTAGCCAACCTTTGTAAATAAATTATCTTTTAAACTTCTAGTTCACATTGTTTTGTACGAGGATCAAGTTGAGATAATGAAAGTTCCTTCCAACTAATCTCTTTTTCCAACTACTTCTTTTCTCCCCCTAATGTTGGAAATTTTGATTCATCAAAATGACAATCGGCAAATCGAGCTATAAATAAATCTCCTATTGATGGTTCTAGATATTTTATTATAGAAGGATATTCATATCCAACATATATTCCCATCCTTCTTTGGGGACCCATCTTAGTACGTTGTGGTGGAGTAATAGGAACATATACTGCACTTCCAAAAATTCTTAGATGGGAGATATTAGATTCCTGACCAAAAACCAATTGTAAAGGGGAGGACTTGAGATAACTTGTTGGCCTGATACGAATTAATGTTGCTGCATGCAAAATTGCATGTCCCCAAGCAGAATTTGGGAGATTTGATCTCATCAGTAATGGTCTTGCAATTAATTGTAGTCGTTTAATTAATGATTCTGCAAGTCCATTTTGTGTATGAATATGTGTTACAGGATGTTCAACATCAATTCTAAGAGACATACAATACTCATTGAAAGCTTGCGAAGTAAATTCACCAACATTATCCAAACGTATTCTTTTAATTAGATAATCAGGAAAATGTGCTCTTAATCTAATTAGTTGAGTAAGCAACCTTGCAAATGCTAGGTTACGAGAGGATAATTAAAACCATGAAATATCTAAATGGTCCACATGGTGGGTGTATCAGCCCACAAATATCCCCTTGTATACGTTTTAGAAATGTGAGAGACTCACTTTCTATTTTTCCTGATGATGGTCAAATGATTAACTTTCCTTTAGAATATGCAGCACATGAGAAAACATGTGATTGTGGAATCTGTTGACTTTTCAGTGAAAGTCCATATGAATTCTCAATTATTTTTCGTATCATAATAGTCCTGGGATGGCCTAACTGGTCATGCCAAATGTTAAATTTATTCTCACTTGTAAACTTCTGGTTTACAATAGCATGTGTTTCAATTGTGTTAATACGTGTGTAGTACAAGCCTGAAGAAAAGGCATGTAATTTTTCTAGAATGCATTTCTTATCGGAAATTAAGTTTGTGATAACCAAGTATTCTTGATTTCCTTCATTTATTGTTTCAACATGATATCCATTTCTGCGGATATCCTTGAAACTCAATAAATTTCTATTAGACTTGGTAGGGTAAAATGCATTATCAATATGTAATTTTGTTCCTTCAGGTAGCAATACATTAGCTGTTCTAGAGCCTTCAATGAGGTTTATACTTCCAAATATAGTCTGAACATTGGTTTCTCGCATTACCAGAGAAGAGAAATATTTCTCATTTCTGAGTATTGTGTGAGTTGTTGCACTATCAACGAGACACAAATCTTCATTATTGATGTCAATAATAGTCATTTTTCATGGAAAAAAAAGAGGAAAAAGATTAAAAAGGAAACATGATTAATAAAAGAAAATATAATTTTTATCATGAATAAAAACTCATAATTATATTTATTTTGGGGATAATAACCTTACAAGTACAGAATTTATTGTGGTAGGTGAAAGAGCACAATTATAAGCAAAACATAAAAATATACTTAATTATAAAAACCCAATTACATCAAGATGACTCATTTTTTGAAACTTCCATCACCAATTAAGTGATCAATTCTTCCATCAGGATTGGCAAAGAAATCAGTAACATCGAAATGAGTAACATCCATGTTGCTATAATCAGAATCGCCTTTTTCTCCCACAAAATTTGTTTCCACCTTTGGCTCTTTGCCTTTATTTTTATTCTTATTCTTATTTTTCAGCGATTCTTGGTAGAGGTCAACCAAATGCTTTGGCGTACGACAGGTACGAGACCAATGACTCTTGCCACCACAATGATAACAAAGATTTTCAGCATGATTATTATTTCCACTAGATTCTTTTTGGTGATGCTCATTGTTATTTGCCCACTTTGTGGGAACGACTACCTCCACGACCACGACCACATCCATGGCCACGCCCACAGCCACGACCACGGCCCCGTCCACGTCCACGACCATGGCCACGGTTGATTCACTTGCCACTGCATTTGCTTCTGGGAATGGAGTGGAGCCAGTAGGACGGGATTCATGATTCCTCATTAAAGCTCATTATTTTGCTCAGCCACAAGCAAACAAGAAATTAATTCAAAATATTTTTTGAAACCTTTCTCACGGTATTGCTGCTGCAGGAGCACATTGGATGCATGAAATGTGGAGAATGTTTTTTCTAACATATCTTCATCAGTAATCTTTTCTTCACATAATTTCAGTTGAGAACTGATTCTAAACATTGTAGAATTATATTCGATCACATATTTAAAGTCTTGTAAACGTAAATGCATCCAGTCATAACAAGCTTTAGGAAGGATTACAGTTTTCTGGTGGTCATACCTCTCCTTTAAATTGTTCCAAAGAACAAGTGGATCTTTTATGATCAAATATTCAATCTTGAGCCCCTCATGCAAATGGTGACGTAAAAAGATCATGGCTTTGGCTTTATCTTGGTTGGATGCTTGGTTGCCTTCCTTGATTATGTCTCCTAGACCATTGGCATTTAGATGGATTTCCGCATCTAATATCCATGATAAATAATTCTTTCCAGTAATGTCAAGAGCCACAAACTCAAGTTTCGTGAGATTTGACATGATGATACTATCATATAAAAGTTAAATGAAAATTAATATTAAGAGAATAGAATAGTTATGAAACAAATCAATATGAATAAGAAGATGGAATAATTATAAAATAAACCATTATAGAAGTGATATAGAAATTTACCTTCTAGTTGATTAGCTGTACTACAATACCTTCCGATTACAAGAGCATTTCGTGCTGATAACGTGTTATGAAATAGAACCAAAATGAAACCACAAAAGTAAAAAGATGAAGACAAGAGAATGAGAGAACTTTTTGTATTTCTTCACTTGCATTACAACACAAATGACATGCCCTATTTATAGACATAGTCTTACACATAGGTTACAATTGTCTTTAAATGACAAATAGTGGATAATCAATCCCATGAATGTGAATGGATAGTAGAGGAGTAATGGATGGTGGAGGTAGTGGAAGTTACTTGAAGAAGATGAAAAGGAAGGGATAAATAGACATCCACATAATATTCATAACAATTATAACTTTTTTTTTTGTTTCATCAATTTCTGAACCACGCCCATTTATTTTAGGCTTTTTCTTAGTCATAGTTAAATTTTATTAGTAATAAGAATGTAAATAAGAGAGTACCGGCATCATCTGTGTACAAAATTTACAAAATTTTAACATTTTTTTTGTATAAAAGTTTAGTAAGTCATTATCAACAATAAAATGTTTAATGGGAATTTTTTCCCACTTTTTCCTATATAAAATTACTTCTATTTATTTATTTTTTTATCCATTACTTATCTTGACTTCAATTTAACTTTCGCTTTGATTCGGAGTTAAAATTCTTTCCCTATATATGAGGGGATGAAATAAAATTAAAATAGGATGACTTGGCCAGAAAATCTCGATAAATGTAACCTGATTTATTGACTGAACATACATTTTCATAGCAAATTATTTCTCTACGGATAATTTTAATTTCTTCATTAAAAATTGAGAAACAACAAACTTTCTTATTTTGACGCGAGTGAGTCAAGTATGGCCAACAAAAACAAAATGAAATCAGATAATATTAGATGCAAAATAGACTGCGTATTGAATATACATCTATTGATCATATAAATGAATCAATTTATTTACTCAAGCGTTAGTGTTTAACAGTATGCAAATGCGTTAATTATTGATTAATTAGTGTTACAATTACATCATTTTATTTATTCATTAAAACTATTAAATAAGTCAATAGGCCTATGACAAAGCAGTTTGTGACAAAGTCGATTATATTGAGTTGACTTTAGCAAATGGTCCAAAGAAGATGTAATTTGAAAGCAACGGTGTTGGCCAAAAAAAATAACTGAAAGTAATTAATTAGATTTATTTAATATGTAAAAGTTTAAAATGAAAAGAAAAAAATCCTAACCAAATAAAAGACGACAGCTATACCAAAAGAAGATAGTTAAATGAAGAAAAGGGATCTTAATTTTATGGGAACAAAGAGCAATAACGATTGAGATGGAAGTTATGGTTTATAAGAGTATGAAAAAATCGTTAAAAAAACATAGAATTTGACAAATTACAAATAAAAACCCATAACAACATTATTATGAGTTTTGACAATAATAATATAGGTTTTGACAACACTTTTTATGAACAGGTCCTTGTATTTAGTTTTCCAATATTTTTTTTGCGATTTTTTCGATAATTATTTCCAAATCCTTATTATTAAATGAACGCTTATTAAATAATACACAGAAGGCAGATGAATAAAGAAGCAGTAGTGCTCCTCCGTTATGATTAAATAATCCTTATTATTGTCTTTTCTCAATGTGCTTTGACTATAATTTACTTTGTGATGTCCATTCACACCCGATCCCCTTCATCACAGCATTTTGTTAAATCGTATTTGAGCTATTGTGTTATTGGACCACTTCGGGTGACAGAAATCCTGTACAGAAGTCATTTAATATTTTAAAAAAAGATGTCAATAACCAAAGAACAAATTGCAATTCAACTAAAATCTATGACAGGATACTGTTAAATCAGAATGAATTTTAGTTGCTTGGGGTGGAAGAGACCGATAAGACTTCCTGACCAGATAGTGGTTTAAGCTGCGGTGAAACTATGAAGAAGAAAGCAAACAAACAAAACAATATTATCTGATCACTCTGAAACTCTACTTTTCATAGATAATGAACAGTTGTTCTTCTAATATTGTTTGCTTGAACAAGAAAGCTGCAGGTTATGAATAACAACAGTATCATCAATTTCACTGAGGATATGCAGATATGAAATAGTAGCTGAGAACAATCTGAGGTACAAGTCTCAGTTGGTAAAAGTGCAAGAAACTCACAGGTATGATCAGCATTATGTTCTTGAGCTCATGTTTACAATTCATTTCCGTGACAACATAGTAGAAAAGGAATACAAATCTGCTCACAGTTATGTTAGAAGAAGTAATTCTAAATAGTTACTATTTTCGAAGCAAGGGTGAAAAACCAATAGGAAGTTAATCTGCTCAAAGTCATACATGCATCACTTTAGTACTCTGCTTCAAGGTAACAAATAGCACCCCTCAATCTTTAATCCAACTCAACTGCATATTGCCTATTGCTACACACTGCATCGAGGAAAATACCAACAATGTTAGCTTGAGAAGAAACCTGGCCACTGTAGTAAGCCAACAATAAATAAAAGCTTAACTTAGGAAACAACGCGATTCAAGCATATCAACAGAATTAAATACATTAGAAGGTAATAGCTTTTTCACATAAAAACAGAACGGATATTTTATTTGGAAGATATCCACTTTTATACATTTTTTCACCATCCCTATAGTTTTTGCTAACACAATGACTGCATACTAGATAAAGACAGTTGCTTACTTGATGAAATTTCAACGAGAGAGGCATACAAATACCAGAACAGGAATCACAGATAATTTATATGTGACGAATGCTATCCTTCGTGCTTTCCAAATTCAATTGTGATAGAGAAAATATCAACTCATCAACATCATGAGATGTCTTGGACTCAGAACTCAGGGGAACAGGTTGAAGGATTGAAGACATCTTCCATTTCTTTGTGGCAGTGGGTTGCTGTGGCTCATCATCAATACTCCGACACCTCTTTTTTCCTGTTATTAACTTCAACTCCAATTCCTTTTGTTGAAGGAACTCTCTGTATTCTGAGGCATATATTGGGCGAACTCCTCCTTCTTTGATCAAGCAATCGCCAAACTTAAATTCAAATGTGACCTTTGATTCGTATTTCTCAGATTTACTGGGGCCTATTCTGCTTTGAACATCCTCCAGAATGAGTTCACAATAGAGGGGATCATACCATAGGAAAACATTATTTGAATTCAATCCGATCATTGAATAATGCCATCCTCTAGGGCCTTCTTGATAAATGTTATTTTCATCATAGTATCCACATGATGAGTGCCGTAGATCCCTTTCTTTTAGGGAGAATTGAGGAATAACAAAGCAGAAAACGAAACCCAATAAGCCATCAAAACTAGGATTAAGCTGAACAGAGATAGAAGACCCTGTTGTCAAGCTTTTGTATGCAAACCACTCTGGAATAATACTTGTCTCAAAACCACCACATTTTGCTTGCTTCAGTGAGAAACTAGCATATTCCAGTATTCCACGAAATGAATGCTCCTCAATATCTTCAAAAGTCCTTTGCTCCCTTGTTCCCAACTCCAATTCCTCTTGCTGAAGGAAGCTGTGATAATCTGGGGCATATATTGGGCAGACTCCACATGCTTCAATCAAGCCATCGTGTTTTGTTTCCTTCATAAAACCGAACCCAATAAAATCATCGCTATCATATGTAACAACATAGAATTCAAATGAAAGCTTTGGCTTGTAATTGGCGTCTGGATATTTTGTGAATATGTTTTTATGAGTGGTCCACAGAAAAACATGGTGTGAATTAACATTTGTTATAACAAAACTTAAGCTTGTGCCGCATTCACCATCTTCATCATAAATTTGGCATTTTACTCTGTAAGAACAGCTTTCCTTTGGAGTGAACTGAGGAAGAACAGAGTAGAAAATGAAGCCTTGCAAGTTGTTCATGGTTGAAGAAAGCTCAATAGTTATGAAATTGGGAGCCTTAGTTGTCTGATTATGTTTAAAACAATCTGGAACTTCTCTTCCTGGATAGCAAACATCAACCATTTGATTTGTATGCACACCACGCTTCAAACAGAAGTAAGCAAACGCCATAATATGGGAAAGTGAACGGTTCCCTATGTTGCAACATGAAAGAATAAGCCTTCTTAGATTTCTGAGATACCTGATTGAGGAATAGGGTGTTAAATTCTGCATTATTTGCTGTGGCAACAATGGAAATTCAATATGAGAAGTGAGTATTAGCGTCTCCAATGATGTGCAGTTGGTAGCATCTAAGTCTTTGATGGATGGAGGAAGCTTTGGTAAAGATTGAAGGCTCTTGCAATTTATCAAGGAAAGAAATTCTAGTCTTGATAGATGCTTGATATTGTCGGGGAGCCCGGTCAAGATGCAACTCCCATCCAAATGAATACTTATTAGACATTGTAAAGCATCAAATAGGATATATAACTTTGATTCATCAATTATCTCTCCACAATCAGAAAAAGTAAGATCTTTTAGAGATCTCAGTCCATAAAACTCATTGACTGGAATATTCTTTAGTCTTGAGCAATTGAGTGAGAGACTAGTGAGTTTCTGAAGATAACCAATTGAAGAGCCCAATGACTCAATGCCAGTTCTATTTAATTGTAAAACTGTCATGCTCTCTGATGATAATGAAAATTCCTTGAGACCATAGCAATTATCAACACTAAGGCTCTCTAGAGATTTTAAAGGGCTCTCGCTTTGCAAATGCTTCAGCTTTATGCAATTAGTGAGCCCCAAAGACTTTAATCTATGGAGAGAATAAATAGAGGGATGCAGATGGCTTAAGCTTTCACATGAGAAGAGATTCACCCATTCAAGTTTCCGTGCCTTGGAGAAATCAGGCAGCTCTGCCAATTGCTTAGATCCTCCAAGGTCTAATCCCCTTAAATTTACCAAATCCTGTATGAATTAAAAAGGGAAACATTACTTGGGAAACAAAAGTAAAAAATTTCAATTGACATGAAAAAATTGAACTCATCATTTTTGAATGTTGCACCTGTGTTCCATCCCACAATTTTTTAAGCTTGCTGCCATTCATACTAAGTTCAACAAGTTTCTCTGCACAAAAAGATGATGGTAGAGCCTCAAAAGGAAAATTATCCCATTGAAGATAAGATAAATGATTGGAAAATGACCCTTGGCTTGAGGGAATATTCATACATGACCTTCTATCTGAATTAGATGAATAGAATTTGAGAAATCTCAAATTAGTCATCTTTTTTAAGGTGTTGGAAGTTAAGCATATATCTCCAATTTGAGACAAATCTAAACTTATGCCTTCAACTGCATCAGTTACCTGAAGTACACAAAATTCAAATAAAAGTAAGCAAATATCATCATATATTAGTAATTGTTTTCACTTGTAGACATTTCTTGTGTGAAAGCAAACTGCTTTTTCTTACCCGATTATTTTTCAATGCATCATAGATTTCATCAGGATTCCATAGTCGACTTCGTCTTCCAGGATTTTTTACACACTCTTGACGAACAATTTCACGACCCATTTGTTGTATTAAATCATGCATCTCCACATAATGAGAAGAAATACGTATAAGGGCCTTATCTACGAGGGTCCTCAAGCCAATTGTTGCATGGTAGCGATAGCTGTCTAAAAGAGCTACTACTTTAGCAATACTTTCACCTTTTAGAAAGCAAGCAATTTCTAAAAACATTTCTCTCTCTTCAAAGTTTAGTCCATCATAGCTTAATTTTAACACTGCATGAATATCTTCATGGCTTGTCTTTTCCAATTTTGTCAATGCACTTTCCCATTCATCTATAGTTTTGGAATATAGAAATGAACCCAAGGTGATTAAAGCTAAAGGATTGCCTTTAGCATAAGCAACAACTCTCTCAGATAGTTCTTCATATCCACTTTCATAATCATCTTTGTGAAAAGCTTTGAGGTTGAAAAGGCTAACTGATTTGTAATCGCTCAATGGTTTGGCTTCATATATTTCATTAACTCTTCCAAGAAGCAAATGTTTATCTCTCGTAGTAACGATGACTTTACTACCAGGTCCCAAGGCATGACATTCTTTGGCCAAATATTCTAATTGATTTATCTTATTGACATCATCAAGCACAATGAAAACCTTTTTACAACTAAGTCTTCTCATGGCAAATGACGTGGACCTAACCATGGACTCTTCTTCCATCAATAGTTCTCTAAGAAGTTTATCACGTATATGCTTTAGTCCATATTTTTCTAATTCTTCTCTTAAATTCTCAAAAAAACAACAACTATCAAATTGGAAGGAGAGCTTGGTGAATACAGCTTTAGCTATAGTTGTTTTGCCTATACCACCCATGCCCCAAATTCCAATTATTGAGGCATTTTCCAACAATGATTCAATACAATCAGCGTTCTCTTCAATTCCAACAAGACCTTGTAATGTGCTTGGATACATGTGCTCCAATCTTTTCAAAATGTCATTGACAATATTATGAATGAGTTGTGATTCGTCCCTAAAATATAAAATAGAAAGAAAAATATTAACACAACTAAAAAAAGAAACTACTAAATAAATGATTTATATATTGAATAAAGTAATAAATAAAATTGATGTTATTTTATTCAGATCAAATTACATAAATTTCATTACATCTACATAACTGATGACATTCTATATTTAGTGATATTTGATGTATTTTTTAGAGTTATCAATGCATGGTAGGAAGGAAAAATTGAAGTGATTGCACCATATGATCTTCAATGTGAATATCATTAAGAAAGTGAGTTAAGAGCGATAGAACTAGAGTAAACAAATGTTTCATTCATAATTGTTGATTTCTTGCACGTGGAGTTAACCATTTTGGATAAAAGAGAGTAGACATTCCTAGAAGAAATAGCAAACCATGCAAAATAACATAATTTTTGTTGAAATTACGCAGTTCTCTGTTTTTTTTTTGGGGGGGGGGTGTTTATTTCCTATCAATAATAGATACTAATCTTTCTAGGCATATATAGAGGATAGAGAGATGCTTCTCAACTAGTTTTTTCCTATACGCAAAAGATGGAAATTAACTACCAATCACTTGCTTAAGAGATAAGAGCCGTTATAACTCATTCAACCAAAAAAAAAAAAAAAAAGCCATGATAACTCATATCAAGTTAAGAAAGTCAATCTTTTTACCAAGTCATCTTCACTATTTACCAAACGTACACAAATCTCTCATGAAAAGAATTGAAGAAAACACGTATAATCTCAATCTCAAATAAAACACAAAACATGTTTGTAATACTACTAATTATTTATATTCATGTCCTTCATACTCCCAATTAATATTTTGAAGGCTGATTAACTATAATAATTGAAGTTAGAGCTGAAGGCACAATTTTAACATAGTTTAAACAAGTTTTCTCAACAGAAAGCTGAAGTAGATCAACTTGAAAGATTGAAAATGAATGAGTATAGATCTCAGGGAAATTCTGGTCAGCAAGATAAATCAAAAGAATAAACAAAAGTACGAAGCCAAGTAGCTAATTAACCCAAAAAAGAACAAAGTATGAAAGTCTATTTTAATAATTCAAAGGTATAATTTTTGAACTACGTACTGACCTATAGATCCGAGAGTCCCAACCAGCTAAGTTTGCAATTTCAAAAAGAGCACGTTTCCACTGCTTCACCTTCTCTGGGTTTTGTGTATAGTGTTTTTCAAAAGCTTCCTGGTAAGTTCCCTTTTGATTGCGTACATGAGATGGGTCGACTTGGTGGAAAATAGGAATAACGAGCTGTCCTTGGACTTCTTTACACTCCAGTATCTTAAGCAGTTCATTCAAACACCATTTTGAGAAAGCATAGTTTTCTGAGAAGATGACAGCAGATATGCTTGAATCTTCAATTGCTTGGATGAGAGATTGGGAAATGTCATCCCCTTTTGGGAGTTCATAATCTATGTAGGTTCGAATACCGCTCATGCATAGGGCAGTGTGAAGATGGCTGGTGAAGGTTTTGCGAGTATCCTCTCCTCTGAAACTCAGAAAAACGTCATATTTTCTGGGAAAATATGCAGAAGAAGAGGAGGAGGAGGATGATGAAGCTGCAGCGCCCATGGTACAGTGATTAGCTATTCAGAGTGATCAAAAACACAGTTTGCACTCTCTTCTTTGCTGATGAGAAAAGTTCATAGTGACGATGGAGGATATTATGGCATCGAATGGACTTGGCTTACTTGCTAAGCTTGGGAGCCAAATGAACAGCAACCGAACTTTACTCTTTTCACATCGGCATACGTGCAGTTCGTCACCATTCTACCCCACCTTCATTATGTTCACAGTTTCCCGGAAACTTTGCTCACTCTTTAACTACGATTTGTACGAATCAATTGTCAATTAATGGTCTCATATGAAGCATAAACTACTTTTTTGAGAGTATTTAATTTGGTGGGGCAATTTCCTCTCAAGCATGCATTTCTAAACATAGTAATAGCATTGTTTTTACCGGTAAGAAAAGTTAACTTTAACTGTTAAAAGGATTTCTTTTAAATAAAACAAGGTACGTGTTCATGCTCTGTCAAGAAATCTAAATAAGCATTCTAAAATCTTACATGAGGTCTATTGGTTTAAACCTTTTTCAATTAAAAAAAATACCTTTTTCGGAAAAATCATTTCCTGGAAAATTTGGACTCGCTTGTTTAAGTTTTAAAAATGGATAATATAATTTTTTGGTTTTCAAATTTGTCCTCATTTTGGTTTTGGTTTCTCTATTTTAAATCATAATTTTTAGTTCCTTAAGAAGTAAAATGATCCAGGTTTTTATTAAAATATAGGGATTAATGTTTTAAATAAAAAAATTGAGAGATTAAAATATATGATTTGAAACTTAAGAGACCAAAATCAAAATAAGACAAAATTAAGGAACCAAAAATTATATTAATCTTTTCAAAAATAAATATTTTTTTAAATATTTTATCAAATATGAGTAGTGAAACTTGCGTGTTTGTCTTCTTTAAAATTTTAAATATGAACCATCCATATTATATCTTGAATAGTCCAGATTTTATCACCACAATAAGCATTACATACTCATTGTTGTGATTAGCACCAGATGAGAATAGGAGGTATGGCCAACAAAAACAAACAAAAATCATATAATATTCGATGACAATATAAACTGCATATTTTTTTTTCGAATGAAATATAAACTGCATATTTAATATAGCTATTAATGATATAAATGAACCATGCATTCGGAAAACGTCTGTCAACCAGGCGTTAAAGAAATGCAAATGCATGACTTATAATTAGTAATTAGTGTTAAACAGACAACAAGTTATTTATTCGTTAAAACAACAAAGTCACCACAATTTGAGATATTATGACGCCGCGGTATGTGACAAAGTCAGCTTTTTATAACTGTTCCAAAGAAGATATTGTGTTGGAAAACAACAGAAACGATAGAGCCAATGTAGGCAATTTTCCTTAACTAGATTTATTTAATGTGTAAAAGTTGAAAATGAACAAGGAAAAAAAAAATCCTAACCATTCAGTACTTGAAAGAAATACCAATTATACCAACCTAATTTGGTTGTTATTGGTTAGTAGAAAAGAATAAATAAAGCTCTTCTCGCCCAAAGATGGATCGATCATAATGATGGGTTTAGTTTATGTATCAAGAAGGATAATATGAACAAGTCAGTACTAAGAATTAAAATAAAATCCTTAAGGATGTTAATCAATTGATATAGCTAAATGATGAGATCAAGTCTCAATTAATTGTTACATGTACGCATGGAACTCAATTAATTGTTATGCTCAGCTAACCTTCACGTTTCCTTTCTGTGACAAAAATAGAAGATAGATTATATAATCACTTCAAGCATCCACAGGACAGCTTGTTATTCATGTTGTCAAGAAGACAATAAAGTGAAGAAAAGGAGTTTTTAACTTCATGAGGAACAAGAGCAATCATAATTCAGACGGAAGTTTTGGTAATCCCAAATTCTTATTATTAAACTCACCAAGATTTTATATTTGTAATATAGGATCGGGTCTTTATTTGCTACTCTTCCGGTCTTTAATATAGGACCTAATTCTTGAATTGATTTTGGTCCTAAATATAAGACCCATTTCTCATATTTATCAATTTTCTCTAAATTACCCCTATGGATACTCTCTCAACTATAATCAAGTAGAAGAGGGAAGAGGGTATTAAGAAAGATGATTATAGTGTTTTAGGAAAAATATGTCACTTTTCTTGTAATTAACTAACTTATCTAACTTCCTTAATCTAATCAAATTAGTTAAAAGGGTCTTATATTAAGGACCAGAGGAGTATTTTTTAAATTAAGTGTTCTAAATCATAATTTCACATATTTAGAGGTCTTTATTTGCTATTTTTTCCAAAAACAATTCTTGTTTACAAATAAAATTAGAAGAGTAAAGTGTTCACGTGACTCCGGAAAGTAACGAGCTTTCCTTTACAAAAATTCGGCTGACAAACTTATTTGCCCGCAGATTTTGTTTTTGGCCCAACTGCCCAGTTGGTCCCTTTATATAGGAAATAAGAATTTAAAAAAAAAAAAGTGTAATGAGCACTTGATAAATAAAAGCCTTTAATTAAACAAAATAGTAACTAAATCCTTGGGGATATTAATTTATAAAGCAAAATAAATGTTTCATGAGATCAAGTCTCAATTTGTACAAGGGGCAGTGAACTCAAAGGGACGGTCTAGCTAGACATTTTTTGTTTCTATCAGACAAAAAGGATTTTTAATACTAAAGTATATATTTAGTTTTTTAATTTTACACAACATTTTAATTTATTTTTTAACTTTAACAAGTATATTTTTAGTCTTTTAATCATAAAACTGTTTAAAAAATTTTTATTAAATTTTTGAGTGTTGATAAAACTTTCTTAAATGTTAACATATTAAATTTAATTTTTAAAACAACTATAATTATTATAAAAAAAATCATAGCTTAACGATTTTAAAATTAAAGAACTAAAAATATATTTTTTAAAATTAAAAAATCAAGATAAAACATTATATAAAGATAAAGAACTAAACGTATACTTTAATCAAATTTTTGATGAAAAAAAAAACTGGGTTATGAGTCATTACATTTCTTGCAATGATTATTAAATATTATATAAATGCAGAAAACTATTTTATCATTGAATTATTTTAAAATTTTTTTAATTAAACATAAGATAAGGGATCTTTCCTAATCAGAAGCACATTCCAGTCCACCGTGGTTTTTTTCGGGTGGGCCAACGAACAATGCAACTTATTATTTATTTTTGGAGGAAAGCGCAGTTCATTCTATAATGGCTAATTAATACAAGTCATCTCATCAAATAGAATAGCACTATGCGACCTGGAGGATACTAAAAACCACAATTCACTACTCAGAATTATAAACCAATCTTCAGAGATATCAATAAATCAAACCAAGCATGCTTCATGAGATCAGAGTCTTAGCTTTTTCGAGTGCAAGGAACTCAGATGTATGGCCTGCATAAGTACCTGAGTCACCTTCACATTTCATTTCTGTAACAAAATAATAAAAATAGTTAAAATTATGCTCAAAGTTATGGTAAGAGAAGTAATTATATAATTACTACAAGCACCCACTGCACAGCTTATCAGTCATGCAAAGAAGACAGAGTCAATAAAAGGAATTGTAATGAACAAAAGTAATCATAAGTGGGCTGGAACTTATGGTATGTAACAGAAATAATTATTCCAAATCCTTACTATTCAGTCAGAACACATTAAACATGCGGAAGATAGACCAATAAGACTCTATCATCAGCTTACGTTTGAGTAACTCTGCCTCTGCAACATCAAACAGTTCTTCTCTCAAGATTACTCACTTGAGCAAGTCAGTCACAGTTCTTTTAATCTTAATCAAATTTTAATCCCATTATATCAATCAAAAAGAAAGAAGGCTTCCCCATGCGAGAAATGAAATGGGAGAATGGAAATTGAGGACTGATTTAAAAACTAATCTCTAGTAAGTTTAAAAACTAATCTCTAATAAGGGCTTTTTATAGTTGTGAAAAGCTGTAAAGATTAGAAGCTTGGGTAGTAAGAAATTGAAAGTTTAAGTAGCGATAGGTCATTGTTTGATATTAAATGTCCAATCAGATCCAACATTGCCATTCTCCCAAAAAAAAAAAAAAGCTTTAAATTCTCAAATAGAATAGTCATTCGGTAAGAAACCAACTATGCTCGTTTGCTACTTTCATCCGTCCAAATTTTGTTTTGTAAAACTCTTCGAACCCGTTGTTGAGTTTGAAAAAAATTTAAAACTTGGACAATAGTCTATTAACAGGAAATTGAAATAAATTTTTTCTACTTGTCACGAACAGATAATCATATTATAGAGGATAATTCACTATAGGTTGCTTACAGCTAATCCTTTTCATGCACAGGCGTATCCATATAATATAATCGGTTGCCTAAGTTAACATTAACTGTGTACAAAACTCAAGCCTAATTAATGCGTAAAATCTCGAGAGAGAGAGAGAGAGAGATTACCACTAAAGCATTGATAGTAATTTATTTTTGTAGATTGCCATCCTTCGCAAATTCCAAATTCAATTCAGATAGTGAGAGTAGTAACTCGTCAATGTTGGTAGATTGAACAGAAGATGCCTTCAGTTTCTTTGTTAGAGTAAGTAGTTCTTCCTCATCACAAGTATCCGAGGTCTCTTCATGCCTAGCTCCAACTTCAATTCCTTTGTTGAAGGAAATTGTTATATTTCGAGGCATATATTGGGTGGATTCCCCATTCTTTAATCAAGCAATCACCAAACTCAAATTCAAATGAAAGCAACCCCACATCCCCAACTCTTTTTCTTCTAACTTGATCTAATATGAATTCACAAAAGAGGGGATCATACCATTGGAAGGCATTATCCGAATTCAATTCTGTCATGGAATAATGCCATCCTCTTGGGCCTTCAAAACAATCACTTACAGAGATCCTTTTATCGACATCAAACTCATGTAACCAGCGGCACCGACAGCTTGAGTGACTTCGATCCTTTTCTTTTGGGGAGAATTGAGGAATAACAAAACAAAAAATGAAACCCATCAAGTCATCAAAATCTGGAAGTTGAAAAGAAACTGAGTGAGTATCCGTGGTTTTGTCTAGAAAACCCGCCGGAGTATTTGGCATTTCAGGGGAAGAAACATGTACACTTTCAAAATTGCCGTATACTCGCTTCAATGAGCAACTAGCATATTCCATAATTCCACAAAGTGAATGCTCATCGTTATCACAACCACTCTTCTTTTGACTACCCAAATCCAACCCGAATTCCATTTGTTGAAGGAAATTGTGATATTCTGAAGCATATATTGGGCAAACCCCACATGCTTCTATCAGATCATGTTTGGTTGTACAGTAGTTCTCGTCATAAGAGACAACAGAAAACTCAAATGAAAGCTTCGAGTTACCTTTAATGCCTTGATCCTCTCTTTCCATAAGTTCCCTTAAAATGCATACAGAGTAGAGTGGATCATACCATAGAAAAACATGATGCGAATTTAAGTCTGTTATCGGCATATCGTCACCCTTGCCTCTGACTTCTTCACCGTCTTCAAAGTATATTTGGCATTTCAGGTAACTCTGACAATTTGGCTTTGACGTGAACTGAGGAAGAACAGAGCAGAAAACAAAGCCCAACAAGTTGTTCACAGATGAAGAGAGTTCAATGGTTATGAAACTTGAAGCCTTAGTTGTCTGGTTATATCTAACCCACTCTGGAATTTTTCTCCCTGGGTAACAAAAAGCACCAGTTCGATTGAGATACGCCGCTCGCTTCAACGATAAATAAGCAGTCTTCCATACTGGAAAGTGAATGCTTCAACTTCAAGCAGTTTTCAAGAAAGAGGGACTCCAATAGATATTTCCGTTGCGGCCTACAAGTTGTTAAAGGGAACGCAACCTCCAACGATAAGCAATTAGTGGCCTTCACGTATCTAGTGAATGGTGGAAGTTCTGGTAGACATCGAAGCCTCTTGCAATTGGTCAAGTAAATGTAGTCTAGCTTCAGGAGATGCTTGATGCTGGAAGGCAAGTACTCTACATTGCTTCGTACTAATCCCAGTAAATATAACGATGATAAGGAGCTCATGTTGTCAGGAAGCTCATGCAAGTTACTACATCCTTCCAAATAAAGGTCTACGAAAGAGCACAAGGCATCAAATAACTTGAGCAGGTTTGACTTACCAATCACTGGTCCACAATCAAGAAGAGTGAGCTCCTTAAGAGATCTCAAATAACGCAGCTGCTCAATTGAAAAGTTCGTCAGATTTGAGACATTAAGGCGAAGCTTTCTAAGTTTCATAAGATACCCAATTGAGGGATAGGGTGTTAAAGCCATCATTCCTTCTTCTGGCGACAAAGAACATTCCATCTGAGAAGTGAGAGTTATTGTCCTTAAGGATGGGCAGTTGGTGGCATCTAATTCTTCGATGGATGGTGGAAGCTCTGGTAGAGATTGTAGTCTATCACAATTCTTCAAAGAAAGAACTTTTAGCCCTGAAAGATGCTTGATATTGTTAGGAAGTTCAGTTAAGTTCCGACACCCATCCAAATGTAGTTCTTGTAAAGAACGCAAGGCATCAAACAGAATATGCAGCTTCAGTTTGTCAATTACTTGCTCACAATTAGAAAGCCGTAGCTCCTCTAGAGATCTTAAACAGCATAACTCATTTATTGGAAGGCTCTTCAGTCTTGAACCATTAACACTGAACTGTTTAAGCTTACTGAAATGCGCAATTGATGAGTCCAACATCTCAATGCGAGTGGTTTCTAGTCCTAAACTCGCGATTTCTTCTGATGACAGTGAAAATTCTGTCAAACTAAAGCACCAATTGAGATAAATCTCTTTGAGAGACTGTAGACGATTCTCACCACGAAGTTTCTTCAGTTTAATGCATTTATTGAGATTCAAAGTAACGAGTCTTTGTAAGGATAAGATAGATGGGTGAACATGACACAAACTTTCGCATGATTCAAGATCCACCGATTTAAGATTCTGTGCCTTCGAAAAATCAGGTAGCTCTATCAATTGTTTGCATCCAGCCAGATTTATTCTCGTCAAGTTCACAAAATCCTGTCACGATTAAAAAGGAAAACATTACATGAGAAAGAAAACCACAGAGCTTTGACTAAAAATTGAAACGTACATTCTCTTATTTATATACCTGCACTCCATCCCAAAGTTTTTTAACTTGGCTGTTTTGCATGCGAAGTACAACAAGTCTCTCTGGACAAAATGAGGATGGCAGAGACTCCAAAGGATAACCGTCCCATTGAAGGTACCTTAATCGTTCAGATAATAATTCAAGGCCAGAAGACAGATCCACCTTGCAAGATCTCCTATCCTTGAGCGAATAGAATTTTATAAATCTTAGATTGGACATCTTTTTGAAGGTATCAATGCTCAATTGTAAATGTCTAATTTTGGACAGATCTAATACTATGCCTTCAATTGCATCAGTTCCCTGAAAAAACACAATATAAAGTAGAATTAAATTGAATGTATATATGTTAATATAACAATCAGTTGCAGTAATGTAACAATCATGTGATGCACCATAACTGAAAACATAATGCTTCTTACTCACTGCATTATTTTTCAACACATGATGGACTTCTTCTGGATCACATAATCTACTTCGTCTTCCAGGTTCTTTAATACATTCTTGACGAACAATTTCATGGCCCATGTCTTTTATTAAGTCATGCATGAGTACCTGGCCATGATCAATAGTTATAAGAGTTCTATCCACAAGGGTTTCCAACCCAATTCTCGCATGGAAACCAAAGCTTTCTAATAGTGTTATCACATATTCTTTCCCTTCACCATTCAAGAAAAATGCAATGTCTAGAAACATTTCCTTCTCTTCAAAATTTAACCCATCAAAGCTCAATTTCAGAACCTGTAGAATGTCTTCATTGGGACTCTTCTTTAGTTTTGACAATGCACTATCCCATTCCTTGGGAGTTTTTGAACGAAGAAATGAGCCCAATACTACCAAAACTAAGGGAATGCCTTTTGCGTAATGAACAACCCTTCGTGAGAGGGATTCATATCCAATTTTTGGATTGTACGAGCGGAAGGCTTTGAGGTTGAAGAGCTCAACAGACTTGTGAGCGCTCAAAGGCCGGGCCTCATGAATTGCGTTAACTCCTGCAATTACAAGCAATTGTTTATGCCTTGCTGTAATGATGACTTTACTGCCTGGTCCCAAGTATTCATAATATGGAGCTAAATACTCTAATTGCTTCCAACTACTAACATCATCAAGCACTATAAAGACTTTTTTACAACTTAGTCTTCTCATAACAGAGGCGTTACTTGCAACATTAGGCGGCCTATGAGGGAAATTTTCTTCCTTTAGTAGCTCAAACAGAAGGTTGTTGCGTACGTATGTCAATCCTTGCTTTTCCACCTCTTCTCTTACATTTTCCAAAAAGCAAGAACTCTCAAATTTGAAGGAGAGTTTGGTAAATAAAGCCTTAGCCATGGTGGTCTTGCCTATACCACCCATACCCCAAATTCCAATTATTGGGACTTTTTCCAGTAACCTTTCAACCTCGTTACAATTTTCATCAATTCCAACAAGACGCATCAATGAACTTGGATAACTGGGGTTAATCTTTTGCTGAACGTCGTTGACAATATTTTCAATGAGTTCTGGTTCGTCCCTAAAATATGAAAAAAGATAAACAAAACAAAAAAGTAAGTATTATTTTTTAAGGTAAAAGAGAAGCCGCATCAAGTAAACAACAGATTAAACAGGCCTAACGATAATATCCTCTCCCTTTCAAGGAAGGCCATACAAAATTTAGGTGGCTAATAGAATGATTCCAATCAGCAGAAGCAATATGAGCTTTTGTCTGGCAAGTAAGTTGGCACATTCATTAACTTCTCCGATAAAAGAAAGTATCATTGTCACAGGGAAAAAAAAAAAAAGAGATAACGAGAGAGATTGGTGAGAATAAATGGACTATAAATTAAAGTGGCAAAAAGAAAAATTCGATGATAAAAAAGTTTGAGTAATGTAATTTATGTTTAAATTGACTTTTATAAAAATCAGTTTGTAAGGTAAAAAAGTTATTTAAATTATGATTAAATAATTAAGCTTAGTTTGTAGAATAACCAAAATGTGTATGACTTTTATTAAATAATGAAAAACGATTAAAAATATGAATTTGTAAAATATAATAATTTTAAATTATTATATAAGTTATATTTAATGAATAAAATATATTAAAATTAGAAATCATAATAATGTGAAAATTTTTGAACCAAATAATATTACATAATTAATTAGATGATATACTCTACATAATTTATATAAACATAAAATGAAAAATAACATCAAAAATTAAGAATATTATAAAAACTGTTAAAAATTATTTTCACGTAAGAGAATATTAAAAATAAATAACTAAAAATTGATTGAGAAGCACAAAGAATACATAGAGAAGCATAAAAATATTATAAATATAAGGGTAAAAATATCTTTTAATTTCAAAAGCTATTTTTACATAAGTCATAAATAAGTTTTAGGTGCTTTTGTAAGCGTGTTTAAAAAAGTAGCTTTTGATTCATAAGCTAGGTTAGTCAAAAACTGTGACAAACAGCTTCTAAATTTGTAAACTGACTTATCACCCCTAGAAGTTACTCTTTTCCTCCTCAGATGCTCTGCCAAACAAGCACAAGATATCGTGTTTTTTTTTTCCTATGAATAATACATACTAATCTTTCTAGGCATATAAAGAGGAAACAGACATGCTTCTCAACTAGTTTTTTCCTATACGCAAAAGATGTAAATTAATTACCAATCACTTGCTTAGGAGATAGGAGCCGTTATAACTCATTGACCAAAAAACAAAAAGCCATTATAACTCGCATCAAGTTAAGAAAGTTAATCTTTTTGCGAAGTCATCAAGTTAATCCTTTTACGAAGTCATCTTCATTATTTGCCAAACGTACACAAGTCTCTCATGAAAAGAATTGAAGAAAACACGTATAATGTCAGTCTCAAATAAAACACAAAACATGTTTGTAATGCTACTAATTATTTATATGCATGTCCTTTATACTCCCAATTAATTCTTTGAAGGTTGATTAACTATAATAATTGACGTTAGAGCTGAAGGCACAATTTTAAATAGTTTAAACAAGCTTTCTCAACAGAAAGCTGAAGCAGATCAACTTGAGAGATTGAAAATGAATGAGCATATCCACATGGATATGTAATTATAGTCAGCAAGATAAATCAAAATAATAAACAAAAGTACGAAGTCAAGTAGCTAATTAACCCAAAAAAGACAAGGTATGAACGTCTAGTTTAATAATACTCCTTCGGTTACCTTTTTTGTAGTGTAATTTATACTTAAAAAAAATCTTATATTTAGGAACGGAGGAATACAACTGTATAATTTTCGAACTACATACTGACCTATAGATCCGAGAGTCCCAACCAGCTAAGTTTGCAGTTTCAAAAAGAGCATGTTTCCACTGCTTCACTTTCCCTGGGTTTTGGGCAAAGTGTTCTTCAAAAGCTTCCTGGTAAGTTCCCTTTTGATGGCGCACGTGAGATGGGTCGACTTGGTAGAAAATAGGAATAACAAGCTGTCCTTGGACTTCTTTACACTCCAGTATCTTAAGCAGTTCATTCAAACACCATTCTGAGCAAGCGTAGTTTTTAGAGAAGATCACAGCAGATATGCTTGAATCTTCAATTGCTTGGATGAGCGATTGGGAAATGTCATCCCCTCTTGGGAGTTCATAATCTATGTAGGTTCGAATACCGCTCTTGCATAGGGCACTGTGAAGATGGCTGGTGAAGGTTTTGCGAGTGTCCTCACCTCTGAAACTCAGAAAAATGTCATATTTTCTGGGAAAATATGCAGAAGACGAGGAGGATGATGATGAAGCTGCAGCGTCCATGGTACTGAGATTAGCTATTCAGAGTGATCAAAAACACAGTTTACACTCTCTTCTTTGTTGATGAGAAAAGTTCACGGTGATGATGGAGTATAAGATGGCATCGAATCGACTTGGCTTACTTGTTAAGCTTGGGAGCCAAATGAACAGCAATTGAACTTTATTCTTTCCACATTATGATTAGCTATTCAGAGTGATCAAAAACACAGTTTACACTCTCTTCTTTGTTGATGAGAAAAGTTCACGGTGATGATGGAGTATAAGATGGCATCGAATCGACTTGGCTTACTTGTTAAGCTTGGGAGCCAAATGAACAGCAATTGAACTTTATTCTTTCCACATTGGGAGACATGCAGTTCCTCACCATTCTACCCCACGTTTATTATATTCACAATTTCCCATTGCAAACTTTGTTTCTTGTTAATCAAGTTTATTGGCTAGAACTACTATTATTAAAAAGACTATCTTGAAAAAAAATATATAAATATGAGAGACAAAATGTATTGAAGTTTTATATTTAGGACCAAAATAAAAATAAAACAAGATCGTATATCAAGAACCGGAGGTCATATCATCACACCATTTTGAATTAATTCAAGTAAATCATATTGCTGTAATTCACAGTCTCTTACAAAATGTAGTGTGAGCTTTATACCACATTTTGTGGGGAAAATTACTATCAGGTCTCAAAAAAGAAGAGATTTAATCACCTAAAAATCCATTAACAATGAATGAAGTAACAATAGATTTACATTGTTCACTTATAATTAAAATTTTATAGTAATGCGATCTCCCTACACTACTACAAAATATTTGATTTGTAGTGCCTGTTTTGTAGCATTTATTAAACAAAACGCTACAGCTAATACTTATTAATTTATTAAAAATAAAAAAAATATTTTATAGCACTTTTCAAAGAAAGTGCTACAGTTAGTATGTAGCTTCTTGTAGCGCTTTCTCAAGAAAATGCTACAAAAGGTCTTTTTTTGGGGAAAAAAAAAGTTACATTTGTTGTATCTCACTTGTTGTAGTGCTTTCTCAGGAAAGCGCTACAGAAGGTCTTTTTACAAAAAAAAATATAGTAATCCACTTGCTGTAGTGCTTTCTTGAGAAAGTGATACAGAAAGTCTTTTGCTTACTGTAGCATTTTTTCAAGAAAGTGCTACAAAAGGTCTTTTTTACCTTGTTGTAGCGTTTTTTCAGGAAAACACTATAGCAAGTGCTGTAAATTTTTTTAAAAATTTTTCCTCCTTTTTTTTGGTTTTCCCTTTCTTTTGTCCCCCCACACAGTCACACCTCACTGTTCTCACTACTCATCTTCACTATTTTTTCTTGCTCTCCATTTTCACACAACTTCCTCCTATCTCCACACTCACCTTCTCCTTTTCACCAAGCATCACACCTCTCATTTTCCCTCCTCACTTCTACTTTTCATACCATGGTCCTTCTTTTCATCCCACCCACTGTCCCATCCCATTTTTCCCTTCCTTATTCCTACCCCTTTTCCGTCCCCACCCCCTTCCCTTCCCAACTCCCTTTTCCTTGTTCCTATCCCGAATTTCCCTTCCTGTCCCCTTCTCGTACCCACCTTTCTCAATCTCCATTTCTATTCCCTTTGTCCTCACCCCTCTTCCCCCTCCCTGCTCTCTTTTTACTTTATTTATTTATTTATATTCAATATAGTTCTGCGCAATTGTAAATTTCTGTACCCTTTATCCTCACCTCTCTTTCCTATCCCCACTCTCTTTTTATTTTATTTTATTTTATTTTTGCAGGGCACTCAATATAGTTCAGTTCAATTCATAATACATTGTAAGTATTTTTATTTTTTAAGCTAACATTATTTTAAAAGCTTACAAATTTAAGTTTGTCAGCAATAAATATTTTAACTTGCTTAATATTTTTTACTTTAGTTGGTTAGATTTTGTAAAATTATTCATTTATTTATTATTTTGCAGGGCACTCAATATTAATTCATCTCAATCTATAATCATTGTAAGTACTTTTATTTTTTAAGCTAACATTATTTTAAAAGCTTACAAATTTAAGTTCGTTAGTAATAATTGTTTTACCTTGCTTAATATTTTTTATTTTAGTTGGGTAGATTTTGCAAAATTATTCACTAATGAAAACTTGAAATATGTTGGAAAATTAATTGGTGAGATATGATTAATTATTATCAATTAAATGTGAAAGTATGTGATAGGTATAATTTTTTATTTTCTATTTTAGGTAATATAATATGCAGGCAAATATGATCTTTATTATTATGGGCCGTGAAAAATTGATGACATATGCCTTATTAATTGTTTAATTAAGTACCATTAGTTAAAAAGAAGTTTTAGGACCAAAAATTTTTTAAGCTGTTATGCTGTTAAACTTTGTTAAGGTAAAGAATATTATTTAAACAACTATTTACATAGTTTTGTACTTTAATATTGTAAGCGTGCAAGTTAAAATGGTCTAAACATATGAGACAACAAGAAGACTAATTAAAGAAGTAATGTCACAATATTTAATCTATTAGCTTTTAATGCTTTCTGTTTTACATTTGATATATGTTGGTAAACATGATTTTTTGTTGTTGTTTTTAGTTGTGAAAAATCATTGAGTTGTGCTGGATTAATTGGTTGATTAGATACTATTAATTACAAGAGATGGCTTGAACCTGGGAAACTTCTATCATTGTTAGATGTATTTATTATATTGGAGAATTGGAATTAGATTGATCTTGTTCACAACTATTGTTAATATACATAGTAGTAATCTAAATTTGCTAATTAATTAGTTATGTTGTTTTGAGAATTTTATTGTATGTATTTAATCTCTGAACTTTACTCACAGTTGAGAAATTTATATGTAAAATTTATGTAAATGTGGTTTTAGAAATTATATTAAAAATATTTTTTAAAACAATTATATATTCTATAATATTTTATTAAAAAAATGCTACAGAATATCAATTAATTTTTTTAAACCAAAAAAACTTTTGTAGTGTTTTTTTAAGAAAGCGCTATAGAAATTAGAGTTATATTCTGTAGTGCTTTTATGAGAAAGCGCTACAGGAGATGAACTTCTTGTAGCACTTTTTCAGAAAAGCGCTATAGGAAGTTACCATAGTAAAAAAATAAAAAAATATTTTGTAGCTTCAAAAGTGCTACAGCTTATTCCTAATATCTTTTGTAGCAGGTTTACATGTAGCATTTTGAAAATGCTACAAAAGTAAAAAAATAAGCTCTACAATTAGCTTTTTATGTAGTAGTGCTATTTTCGCAAATGTCTCATAACAAGTTTTTGTCTTTTTTTTCCTTCTTAATGTAAAATCTCATGCTCATCCGGTCCTTAATATAGGACTTAATTGTTCAATTGATTTTGGTAATAAATATAAGACATATGTATCATATTTATCAATTTTTTTTTAAATTATCTCTATAGGTATTCTCCCAATCATAATCAAGTAGAAGAAGGAGAAAAGATATTAAAGAAGATTATTATGATGTTTTAGAAAAAACATATCATATTTTTTCTAATTAAATTAGGTAAATAGGTCTTATATTAATAACCGGAGGAGTATCTAATACAAAGCACGAACTTATTGAATAGTAGCTTTGAGTCAGAGGCATGGGAATAAGAGTTTTTTTGTTTTTTTTGACCTTGCATGGGAATAAGAGTTGAACCACCAAATTTCGAAAATGTTGAGAAGAAGTTGGTAAATATTAGTGATGAAAGAATTAACTACTCGACCTAACTACCTGTATGTGATGAATATTTGTGTGTGAATGTAGAGCGGGCACAATGCAATCCGATCCAATGGGGGGATCATTAATGTGAATCACTGCAAAATCGTACGTTTTTAATTGAATAACAATTCAAGCAGATATGTTTATACGTTTAAGCATTCAACCTATGAAGCAGCAAAGCATTAGATGGCACAGAAAAGTCTGGGACAGCCAATTTATAATGAGCGGTCACTTCTATAGCTTTCAGGTTAAAGTTGAACTTCTTTATGATCTTTTTTTTTTTTAACAATTTAATTAATATATGTAATTATTGTTTTATATCAATTTGGACTGATTCAATATAGATATAGTACTTTGAGAAAAGTATCAAAAACAAGAGAAAGGGGTTGGTTGCTCTCTCTCTTTTTTTCCCCATATAAGTCCTACCTCTTCGTCTGTAATAATACAAGAATGAAAAATCAGATATTGTTGGCATGAATAATATATAGGGTTAAGGTGCGCCTAACACCCCGAACTATTTTTCCAGGTACGTCTAGTGTCCTAAAATAATTTTCGGTGCATCCAGTATCCCAAACTAATTAAAACGGTGCATCCATATCCCAAGCTAACAGAAAAGTTAAATTTGACCGTTAACTTGTTGACTCAGCCGAAGGTTGACCAAAAAATTCTACGTGACGAACACGCAAGCTTCTGATGTGTATTATTTTGACGAGTTAAGGTGCACTCAGCACCCCGAACTATTTTCCCAGGTGCACCCAGTGTCCTAAAGTAATTTTTGGTGCATCCAGTGTCCTAAACTAATTAAAACAATGCGTCCATATCCCAGGCTAACAGAAAAGTCTCGTTTAACCATTACCTTGCTGACTCAGCTAAAGGTTGACCGAAAAATCCTACATGACGGACACGCAGGCGTCTGATGTGTATTATTTTGACTGAAAATTCAATTTATTTCCTTCTCTTCTAACGTTTATCTTCTGCCAGCTTTTAAACTTAAAAAAAAAAAAAAAGACCACCGGTCCACCCTCTTAAATCCCAGTACATGTATTACTCATTCAATCTCATCCTCATCTTTAACATTTTATCCCATTTCTTCCACCACTCCGATTTGAAATGTCAACTGCTGTCACATCACACTTTTGTCTTTCTCTCTGTCAACTCCTCATTCTACTCGCATTTGCTTTCCTCCTTATAGAACACGGTAAACTTCCCTTTGGTCACTCCGTCGATATCACCGTCGCCTCTTGAGAAAACACCCGCCACCAC